TCAGGTTACTACTAAAGCTAATTACTAAAACTGCTACCCCCTCTTACCCGCCTAACCCCTCTAAACACAGCTACGAACAGGCCATGATCACAAGAAGATCTATGCCGCCATGTCCCAGGCCTCTTGTTGGGTGGGAAAGTGGGTGGCAGTAGCGGGCATGTCTGGTCAGCTCATGTGATTATTTGATGTTGATGAAGAAATCGGTTTGGGATGAAGGCGCTGATGAAGGCAGCTGTAATTGTTTGTCTGTCTATCTGTCTGTCAGTCTATCTATATATCTATCTTTCTTATCTATCGATAGGTACGGGAGAAGGGCAACTGTTATCTAGGTGCAGCAGTGGGTGGGCGGTCTTGGGGTGGTCCACCTTTTCTCCTCGAGGATGGAAGCTTCCATCCATCGGTGGGTCTTGCAGAGTCGGGCGATTCACACGAAAGCAGTCATGGCCATTGTGGTGCAGGGTGTATATAGTGTCACATGTACGATAGATACCAACCTGCATGTTCGTTCACGGTGATCAAGGGTGTATGTAGCTCCGTCGGCTCATGTTTCAACAGAAACCCAAACAACTAAGGAAGGAGCACTTGGCGGTCACAAGCAGGACGAGCTCCTGGGCTCGCCAAAGACCACCTCCCGCAAAGCAGAACACGGTTCCCTCCTGCGAGGGCTCCAAGTACCGAAGAGACCTGTACTTAGACCATGCTGTTCGACCCCCACCCCAGTCTCAGTCCCCAGGTCCCACCATTCAAGACGAAGGTAGTTGGACCGGACCCACCCCCCCCTCTCCTCTTCGCCTCTTGGCGCCTCTTCCTTCGCGCCAAGAACGACTGCAGGCGGCCACGAACGCCGAGACCGGTGGCCGACCCACGGTGATCTTAGCGACTTGGGCGGACCGAAGCGCGCGCAGTTGGGCCGGTCGCGTCTATGCGGCGGGTGTGGAGCTGAAGGGCGTCGGACTGGGTGAGGAAGTTGCAAGTGGGAAAGAGATGTGTTGTTCATGAAGAGGTTCCCACATGTTCCCACACTCTTGAGTTCTTAGATCAAAAGATCAATGATAGACTGAGAGACCTGTTGTTCGAAAGAGAGATAGATTGGTGATCTGTCATTGATTATGTGAAGCTCGAAGTCCCATTGGCCTTCACTGATGTACTGGTCTTGGATGTCCATCTCTCAACCTGTAGTGTGTCAAGATGTCTACTGACCTTCGCTTCATCCTTCCCTATCTTCCATCCATTTCACGAAGCGTCCGACCAACCCGGTACCCGGTCTTCGAGGCGAAGACGTTGAAGGGCTTCTCCTTGGCGACCTTCCAGGGGCGGAACACCGTGGACCCGCCGAGCTTGGGAGTCCCCGGTGGTTGCACCATCTGTAACCGATAGAAGACCCGGTTTTAGCGGTTCGAGGCGCTGGAAAAGGGGCTCCTCAGGTCCGGTGGACCCAAGATTGGGTTGCAGTTTGAGCACCTGGACCACCTTACCAAAAATTACCAAGCAAGAAAAGATGTGTGGAAGATGATTTCCCTGTAACTGTCCTGTTTGTGTTTGTGTGTTTGTTTGATTGAGGGTGCTCCCTACTGTAGCAGCTGTCTGTGGCACGCCACAGGTCATTTTGAGGGATTATATCCATGTTGGTGGTTTCCTGCAGTGAGAGATACCAAGGGTTTGTGCTTAGCTTGGCTTTGATCAGCGCCCAGATGTTTGGGGGGGCCTGCGATATTCGGCGCCCGTCTTCTGCGCCCAGGTGCATCAGCAGAAGAGCTTGAAGGTTGAAGAGGCAGCCAGGGAGATGACGGTGATGAATGTATTGGCTTGTCATAGTTCCAGCGAATCCATGGCGTGGACAAATGGCGATGACTTAGCCAAGCCAGTGGAGCAGCATCATCTTAGGGTTGAAGACATTGCTGGAAAAACCTTCAACAAAACTACGCTCCCTGGCCTTTTGAAGATTTCGAAGGGCTTCATATTCCATGCATTTCCATTTTCTTTCCGGTCCTTTCCTGCTTTTCCGGTCGCCCCGAACCACCGGGCCGCTGCTGTAAGCTCCGCTCCGCCCGCGGCACGTCGGGCAGATGCTGAGCTTCAGAGACGTCTTGGAGATCCCGTTGACGGATGAGCAGATCAAGAACCCTGAGGCGTCGCACCCGGCGCAACCCACGAGTCGCCTCGCTTTTTGGGACGGGTGATGTGGGCATTGGAGGCGATTTCAGGTGGTGAAGCAGCTGCTAGCAGCTTTGAGTGAAGCACATGGAAGGAGCGAAGATGGAATGTACTTCCATTTGTATACAATGTGTATGTTCTTTCTGAATCATGATGCAATCATGGTGTTTGAGTACGTACATGTTCAGAAGAGAGCGTCTTTGCGACATGGGCACTCTTTCTCGATCTGTGCCCAAATCAACACCTTTGCACTTTGGGCCCACCATTATAGAACGCCCGAGAACAAAACCGCGCGAGACCAGTCTTCCACATAGATCTGGACCACTGGACCACTTCGGACCGGGCACTTCGGCCACCTCGGCAACGCGTCGCTTCTCCCCCACGTCCAGCGGCACCAGGGCGGCGAGTTCTTCCGCAAGCCCGGCAGCGACTCGCCGGAGGCGCCGGGGAGACGGAGACCGCGTGGGACGCGGGGCGAAGCACCGCGCGGGTACCGGGAGGACGTGCGCAACGTGCGGAAAGCGAGGCTTTTCGGTTTGGCCATGCTTTTTTCGCACTTCGAAAGGATGCAGCATATTTCCGGGAAGCGCGAGCTGGAGGGAGAGGCAACTGAATGGTACCTCGGAAGAGTACAGACCCTGGCCCTGAGCTGCGCTGAATCCTCTTTCCAGCCAAAGTTGCCATCCATTTTCGAGGTGCAATACATCATGAAGAACCGCGAGAAGTTGGGAGGATATCTTCCGCTGCGTACCCCTGCCAAGGCTGGCTGGAACGTTTCTATTGCAGCATATTGCAGCCTCAGGCACTCCGGATTTTTAGATTATACATGATTATACCCACATGCTTACATGATTCGGAATTGTAATTACAAAAAATAGTAACACATATGCGTCTCCCATGGTAACAGGCTAGTTGATGTGACCTCATGTGAACCCCTCGCATGTTTCTCTATTCGCAAGGGACGCTAAGTAACTAAACTGCGATCAGGCCCCTGTGGGTCTCCGGGAACAATTCACGTCCAAGCTTCCAAGGGAGAGATGAAGAAGGGCTCAAAGATGGCCCCAACTGGAGCAGCTCCAAGGGAGGTCCCTGACATTTCCCACTTGAAGCAAAAAGAGGTCACATCTGGAGGCCATGAACGGGACATCGACCGGTGGGACTCTCTACTCACCGGTACAGTATCGATTGGAGGATCGATCCTCCCAACCGCTGCCGTTTGCCGGCCGCTCGAGGTGAGCGGTTTGATCGACCTGCCGCCGGCGGAGCTCTACAACCTGCCGCTGGGCGGCGGTCCGCGGTCCGTGGAGCCGGTGAGAAGAGCAAGAGTGGTCGGTCCGCGCGCGACAAGGAGCCAGCTATAAACCCTGAGAGTCAGACTCGGTCCTTAAAGGATTGGTCTTAGAAGGGAATGAACTCACTGGGACAAAAAGTCTTGAAAGAACGAACTCACTTTAGGCAATTCTTTTGGGGTCATGCATAAGCTATGCCAAGTCTTTGGTGCTTTTTCTATTTTCACCTCATGTCTGGCAGGCCTGCCCTACAAAAATGGTTGGAGACGTCTTTGACGCCCTATAGTTTCCCCAAATGGGCTGGTGAGCTGGTGATGTCTGTTGTTCCCTCTTCCCAGACATCGTGCTTGGACCGTTTTCAGACCGGTCGACTAGCCGAGGTTCGACAAGGGCAATCCGAAGGTGGCGCACCCCCCGGGGGGGAGGATAGGTCACCTGTTTTTTCAAGCAGAATGATTACATAATTATATATAATATATATATATATAACAAGCAGATACAAGCAGTATGTTTTTGTTTCTTACATTATGACAAGGTTTTTTTGGTTTGTATTTATGTGCGGGACAGTCCTAGCTGGTGTGCGTGTCTGTGTTGATTTTCCAGCATCAGCATCGCTTGACTTCCCTACTTGCTCGCTGCACGTTTGGGAGAGTGATCCCCAACAGGTTTTCAGGAACCACCCAGCTGATTCACATCCTGAATGCAAAACCAGATATGGGTGTGTATCAAACTAGGGAGACCTCCCAGTTTGACCTCCTGGAAGATTCGTGAAATAGACTCAGTCTACCCATTGGTTGGGTCTCCCTATTAAAACGCACGCTTCGAGCACGGGTGCGGCTATCACCTCTTTTTGTGGGGCTATCAAAGGAGACCCCATGAGACCCCGAAACAGCGCACTGCTAGGTATACATGATTTTGACTGATCATATTGGAACAACCACTTGTTTCCTGCTTCCGTTTCCAGGAACAAAGAGACCCAATATTCACGCTCTCTTTTGTGCCTAGTATTCTGCAGGGGATGTGCCGTGCACATCCCCTGGGCTTCCGGCCGTATCCTCAAATGAATTTACATCGCCACCGTGGTCGTAGGGGCAGTTCAACATAGTTTCTAAAAACCTCTTACCGGTTTTTATCCACCTCGATTTCGGGTTCTCCGGGACCCACTCCTGCAACCGCTGGACTGGCTCGGATTTCCGTAGAGCCGTTGGGCTCAGTGGATCAGATGTCAAGTGGCTGCCCCCCAGCGCCTCAAGCAAGACAATGATCCAGCAGCTGACTGCATCGAAAACAACGGAACAAAGGCATCTCAGACGTGACCACTTTGCCATGTCCAAACTCTGTTTCCTGTGGGTAACAACTGAATGCACTGAAGCAGAGACACAAACACTGCCAGCCTCCAGTGTCACATTGGAACACCCAACACAAAAAGCACCAGGTTGCTTTTCGCACCACCGGTTGTTGCTGCGACGCATCTCCCATCGTTGACTGGGAACTTTGCTTTGCCCCACCGCTCTTTGCATCATTTTCCCGGTGGCGGCGCAAAAAAATCGTAAACACATGGCCTCGCTGGAGGCGCTTTGCAGCTCGCTGGAAGTGGTGAAAACGGGAAGTCCACTGCGTCTACTGCGTCCTGGGTCGGGGGCTTTCCACTTTCATGTTAGTGAGTCGGAGTTGGCTTTGGAGGGTCTGACTGGGATTGGAGGATCCGAGTACTGACCGAGTCTTTAAATGGATAAGTGGTTTGGCCGCTTGCGGCCAAGGGCGGCCAAGGCCAAAGGTGACAGGAGTGCAAGCGACCGTTTACTACAGCCTCACGCAATTGAGACACTCTCAGGTTTCCAGAAGTCTTGGGCGCAGCGCATTTCAATCAAAAGCAAGAGACGCAGTGAACCTCTGAAAAAGAAAAGAAACACATTGGTTTTGACCAAGGTTTCGACGAAAGACCCGCGGCCCACAACTCTTAACAGGGATGTCCAAACCAGCTTTCCCGAATTGCGGGTTCTAGGAACAGCCCCGAAAGGGAGGTGATGGGGGGCGGTGAGTGGGGGGGTGTCCACTTCACCCCACTCTCATGGGCCTGACCAGGAGTCCGTCTGGATTTTCAGTCTGGACCGGCCTTCCGGGTGTTCGGCCTAAGGCCAGGAGTCCTTTTTGAAGGAAGATCCAGGCAGTTTGAGGGCTCTGGACTCTGCTTGATCTGCTTGAAGACGGGGGGAACTGGGTGGTGCAATCCAAAAGGCATCCGCCAGCACGCCGCTCCGACCCCGCTCAAGGGGTCCATCGTGCACGGAGATGGGGGAGCCCTTCTCATGGCCCATGGAGCCCCAAAAACATCGGAGGGGTCCACAGGTGGAGCCGGTCCACCATGGAGCGAACGACCTCCCAGGTCCGGTCAACCGGTCGGTCTTCGGGTGCCAGTTCCCTGTCAGCCGAATGAGTCAGCACCTTGGCTCTGCCCACTCCCAGAGTTCGCCCAGTTCTTAGGTCCCCAAGTCCGACAGCGGTCCACCACGTAACATGCTCTGCCGCAGAACGGTCGCACAGGTTCGTTCCGTTCAAAGAGATCCACGGGAGGTGAAAGAAGGGACCAAAGAGAAACGAGAGATCGCAGCAGTTGCTGCCGTACTCTAGAGGTCTGACGGAGCTCATTTCACTTGGTGTGCGGTCATGCAACTATACTCAGTACTCAATGAGCTGGTTCGGACCGGGTTTGGTCCTTGGACTGGTGGAACATGAGTCTGCATTCTCCAACCTCAATCGACCCTTAAGATATCTATGCTAGGACCTACAAGGGGTGGTTAATGGACACCCCTTAACCTCTAAGGGGCTATCAATAGACACCCCTTAGGGTGTCCTGGTGTTTATACTATACTCTGACTCACTATCTCCTTTTTGTTGAACCACCAACGCCCCCGAACAAGGTTGCCCCCCCGCATCCTCTCCAAAACAGGGGTCACCAAAACAGTGGCCTGTGCTTTTCTCCCCGGATCCACTCCCCCGGTGCACCGGCCAGGCACCGGTCGCTTGGACCGGAGGCGCTTCCAGGTGGCGCTCCAACGGGTCTTGGGGAGCTTGGCTCTGCCGCAGCCGGACGCCACATGGCATCTCGGAGGGCCAAGCCTTGCCGCGTCCGAGGACGGAGGAAGGGGGCCACGTACGCTATATATGTAACTGCGCAACGGGGTGCGCGTGTTTGAGAAGAAGAAGAGTTGGGTGTGAACCCGTGTGCTGTTTTGGGGAGGGATGACTTGGGATGACTTGCGGAACTGAATCAGTCAAGGGAGAAGCTTTGGACCCTGAATCAGCTGCAAAGTGGCGGCGAGAGACCCGTGGCATGGGTGAGAGACGTCGCAGCCAGTGACCCAGGTTCGATCGCGTCTTCGAGAGCTACGCGCCGAAGTGCGGCGGGAACGGTGTGTCGCTCCGTGCCATGGAAGATGCGGCGAAGCAATTTGTGAACCATCACCAGAAGAAGAGGGAACAGAAGGAACAATCTGCGAAGCAGATCGATGCTTAGCACCAATGATGGACGACGTTGGGTGCTTGCTTGCTTTAGGGTGGCTGGCAGTATGGACAAGCCGTGTTGCTCCCTCCGGCATCCGGTCTGCTGAGAGCACGTGGCTTGTTCCTGTGCGACCATGAGTGACCTCTTGAGTGAGCAACCACCCCAAATATGGCCAAACCATGCCAAACAGCCTTTCAATTTAATTTACTATCAGAAAAGAGGTCACATCTGGGCTCTAAGGCTCTATGTATACTGTGAACTCAGGTGTTAGTGGGGTTTGTCTTGGGATCTTCGGTCATCAGGATGAGCCGGACGATGAGGGAGCATTGGCCACCCACACGGGGTGGCCTTGACATCTCGAATGGTAGAACAGGTCTTTACAGAATGCCAGAATGAGAAGATCAAGCTAATCGAAAAGTAACGCATCATGATACAGTATCATGTGTGTGTGTGTGTGTGTGTGTTTTTCGTAAATATCTATTTACAGAATCACAGAACAGAACCCTGTGAGACTCGCGTGGAGGAAGTGTCAGTGAGTGGGGGGGCCCCGGAAACTTTGCCCAAACTCCAGGTGGCTGGAGACTGTTGCGGAGACCTGACCCCTGATCTGTTTGGGCATCATGAAGTGTTTAGAATCCCAAAAGGAGCTCATGAAGCTGACCCAACTGAAGCTGACCCAACTGAAGCTGACCCAACTGAAGCTGACCCCCCCCCTTCTCTATGGTCCGCGGCAAAGCGAACCATCCACCGCCTGCGACGCCCCCAAGGAGACTTCGACGCCCGGCAGCGAGGACCGCCCTGCGAAGCAGGCGGTCGGAAGGCCTGAGGCTGTGAAGGCGGCAGTTCGGAAGCAGGTCATTGAGGAGGGGGAAGAAAGACCGAGAACAGGGGTTCAGGGGCAGAAAGCACACCCCGCTAAGAATCAAGGATGCTCGAAGGTGAAGGCTTTGAGGGTCCACACCCCTGCTATGCAGGGTCAAAACTCTCCATAGGAGGGTCCAATGATTCTTAGGGCCCTATATACTCACCTCGTGGGCTATTAACAAGCTTGATGTGTTTTCACTCTTCAGACTGCAGGAGACTGCTCTGCCGGTCCAGTTGCCCCACACGCCCTTCGCCCCCGCCGCGGGCGCCGCCCTCGGCTACACCGGCGCCAGCGGCTCCCCGTCGCGGCCGGGCTACGGCCGAGCGGTGGAGCTGGCGTCGGCGGTGATGTGCCCCATGAAGCAGGGCAGCAGCGTTTTGGAGGAGCTCCCCTGGTCACCTGCTGGTCCTTCGGTCTCCTGGACTGGTTCTTTGGTCCGAGACGGGGAAGGTCCCCTGGTCCATTGGTCCTGTTGGGGGAGAGGCGTTTTCGGTGCTTTCGGTGTGTGTTCTTTTGGTTGTACTTGGTGCACCAAATAGCCCAACGGTTTCAATCAATCAGGAGGTGCCGGTGTGTATAGGAAGGGGGATCTTTGGGACGTTTGGCCCGGCCGTGTGCCAGACTTGCATGTACTGGGAGCAACTGGTAGCATGCACCTCGCAAAACAGCTGTTTGATGCCATGTCCATGGCCCCTCATGGCTTTCGTTCGCGAAGCCGTCAGCCGTTGTGAGGCTTCTCCAATCCATCGGGCCCGGGATCGAGCGGACAGGACTATGTCATGGACCAAAAGATCGGCGAGGGGAGCTTTGGACAGGCCAAACGCAGCGCCCAAACGCAGCTGGGGGGGGACCCTGGACACCACGCTCCCAACCTCTGGGTGCATGGTCTCGCGAGCTCACCAGCGAGACCGGACTCATCACTTTGAAGGGTCCATGTGGGGTAGCCGATGACCTCCAGTCATGAACCGAGCGCAGGGGATACTTATATACCGTGATACCCCTCCATTCATACCCCTGATCATGGCAGATTTGTGGATACCCGTGTGGCAGGTGCGTCGACCGCATGGACCACCCTGCTATGTGATTTTTCCCGAGAGTGGATCGGGGACACCAGAGAGCGATGTTGGCCTGGAACCTAACAATCAACCACTGGGCCCTGGGAGGTTGGGAATAGATATACGGAATACCGCAACAAATGAGCTTCCTAGACCTGGTGTAGACCTGTGCCAGATGATAGACGCCCTGGTCATGACTTGACAGAGAAGGGCCAATGATCTTCCACGGCTGTGTGTTATTCGGACCCAGTATACCCTCCTGTAAGACATGAAGAAAGGACCCACGTTTCTACCCTTGGGGATTTGGGTGTGTTTGCAAAAGGGGAAACCTTCCAAAGGATCCATCCACGAGTCTACCGAGTCTACCGAGTCTACCTGGGGGTCTCCCTACCACACCGATGGTAGACGTCGAGTAGACTGGTGGAGTCGGGTTCTGCGGGGTATGTCATAAGATGTCATAAGACCATGGGTGTGGTCTACCCATTCCCCATTGTTTTTGAAGGTTTCAGCCTGAAGACCTTTTCAGGCTTGTGCAAAAGCGGCTTCCAACCGTCTCAGTTGGGTTCGTTTCAAGTGTCCGTTTTGGTACACCTTTCGTTTTGTGCGTGTCATCCTTTGCGGACCAGCACTCCTCCCTGGTCGTGCATTTAGCATCTGACCAGCACTCGAAAATCGAGCCGTAGGCCCAAACCGCTTCAGCCGCCACACACTTTACATTGGCGGATCTCTAACATCGGCCCTGTCACTGCGCGGCACCGAGCATCTGTGTGGTGGTTGCCCAGCTGGTCCTCATACACGAAGCTTGCTTCCATCAGGCTCCTCTGGCCTTGAGCTGCCCTCTAGCAGGCCCCACACACCGGATGCCCTCGAACTCGATTGCGTTTCTCAAGCCCTGTGCAATCCTGTCGTCGATGGAAGCATTGGCTGGACTCCGCAAACCAGATCTGCCACGTCGGCTCAGCTGCAAGCCGCCTCCTTCTTCCGGTCAGGGTGATCTGTAGTCGGTCCCCTGGTAGGTCAGCTTGGTTGGGAGGTTCTTCTTGCGGCTCAGCTTGTACAGGATGATCTCTCTCCAGACCTCCAGTTCCCCTTCCCTCATTAGAACTGGTACCCGTCGGCGGCAACGATGAAGTACTGTGCTCCCCATCGCTCGTTCGCTGTTGACTTTCTCCTCGTTGGTGTGATCCTTGACCCCTCTCCGCTTGAAGCCTTGTAGAAGACCTTGTCCCTGAGGAGGTCTGTCCAGTCAAGCGAGAGACCCTGACTCTACGCGCCACTGGCTCCTCCACCACTTGGCCCCAATGCAAGCGGCATCGTTGAAGGGTTTTCATGAGCACCATTCCCAGCAACATCATCATGACGCTGAGGAGGTACAGAATGTGGTCGCCCTCGGTGTTCTCATCAACACTCTTGGTGACGTTCTCAGCCATAGCTCCATGCACTTCTTTCAATGCCGACAGCACCACAACAAGCCTCATGGCCTTTTCCAGGTGGTACTTCGCGACCAACTTCATGGCACGAGGTGCAACAATGCCCTTGTCCTCCTCATGGACTTCATCCGCTGAGTCGGGCTGCCATGACATCCCCATTCTCTGTCTGAGCTCATTGACTCGAGCCACGGGCAAAGCCTTGGTGCCAATGTCCGCAATGAGCTCTCTTCCAGGCTGGTATTTGAGCTCCCATTGACCAGACTGAATCCTCCATTTGAGGTGAGCGGCCCGGACCTTCAAGTGTCTTGTACGCCACGCTCCAGTTGCACAACTTGCTATCGAAACTGCAGCAGTGTTGTCGCACTTGAGGAACTTTGGGACATCTCTCACCATCTCATCCACCAGACATGCAATGCTGTCCCCCACGACCACGGCCTCAATGACTTCGATGAGTTCAGCTTCTGCTGTTGACAGGGCCGGAAACGGCTGTTTGCAGCTCTTCCATGCCACCGGTGCACCAGCTACTGTCGTGATCACGCAACCGTGGCTGTGGGCTCCTCCCGGAGCAAACGATGCATCACTGACCGACTCCAGGATGAAGTTGGCATCTCTGCGGTACCACAGGCCCAGGCCCTGAGTGGCATTCAAGTGCCTGATGAGCTGGTAGGCCGTCTGGACTGCCCATTTTGGCGCGCGGCTCGTCGCTGAGCAGATCCTGCTGACGGTATAGGCAATGTCAGGCCTTGTCTTCGTCGCCAGCCATAGAAGTTCACCTTAAGTTGCCGTGCCTCACGAACTTGTAGGGGCGTGCGATCCAGCTCATCTTCGGGTTCTTGGGATTCCTTCATGATTTGAGCACTGCAGAGGTCCTCCATGCCATGTCTCCGAACCACTTCCCTCAAGTAGGAACATTGATTGGCAAAGAAGTCTCCTTGTTCAGTTCGGCTCAACTCCATTCCACAATACCGAACTGGTTCACGATCTCCCACCCACGTAGGTTCGGACGTTTCCCAGGTCTTTCGAAAACTCTGTAGTCCTCCTTATCTCCCTGGTGCCAAAGAGCATCACGTCATCCACGTACACAAAGGCGAGTCCCTCGACCCGGTCACCATCCCGGCATCCTTCCTGCGCACCAGCCACAGGTTCTCCTCCGCGAAGCTCTGCCGGTACTCATAGGTGATGTGATTCGCCTGGAAGGACATCTGGCTGATCTCGATGTCCCTGTAGTCCCCCCCAAAGTTTTGGAGACTCATGTAGGCCATAAAGAGCCCTCTCCACCAGCCACATTTCCCCTTCCTTCACCAGTCCCAATCGGATGAGGATCTTTGGAGGAAGCATGAGCACCAGGCGTTTCCTTTTAGTCAGGTCCTCCTCCTGCTGCTCCTCTGGGATCACCTCTTCTTGACTGTCGTGACCTCCTCCATCACCCTCTTCATCCTCATGATCCGAGGCCGACCATGAGCGTCTTCCAAGGCGAGTATTTCGGCTGCTCTCCTGAAGAGTTCGTAGAGGGGCGTTCAAGAAGGCAGTCTTGATGTCCAGGCTAGCCGCCTGCCAGCCGCGTGTTGCAGCCAGTGCCAAGGAGGTCCTCAAGCAAGTAGTGTCAGCTCCACCTGCATAGAGTTGAGCCGCTTCCGAACGGTCTCCAGGACCTCTTCCGGCTCTCTTCAGGTAGTCCCCGCAAACCACCAAGCGACACTTCCGGCGTGCATCAGGGGCCTTCGCGGCATGGATGGCCTTCCCCGGAACCACCTCCACCTTGTCCCCATGCTCCCTCTGGTAGTAGGCCACCTCTGCGGGAGTCCATCGCCGAATCGACTTCTTGCCCTCCAAGGACTGGATCTCCTTCATGATTGCCTCAAGCCATAGCTCCCGGTCCTTGTAGACCTCATCGTTGGGCACAATCCGGGTCTGGAGGATTTCATCTTCCAGAAGTCTCTGGGTCGACGCCACCTGTTCTTGTCGTAGAGCGACCATGCCTCGGCTCAACGGAGGAACTTCTCTTGGAGCAGATCCCAACAAGTGGCCCTCCTCTTCATAGATCGCCTGGAAGAGCATGCGACGGTCCTCCTCTCTTCGAAGGTCTTCTTCACCCTGGAGACACGCTAGCGGGGTCTTCTCTCGCAACCTCCAGCGGAGCCGTACAGGGTCATCTTGGATGTGTACCTCCTCCATGACCAGATCTCGTTCATCAGGCTTAGGCTGCCTCACGTCCTTGATCAAGTAGCTCACCACCTTGACCTTCTCCTTGTCCGTGAGAACCGCATGCCCCTTGGAGACCTGTGGAGTAGGAGTTAGGTAGGTCACCGTCTCTGACTTCGCCTCAAAGGGTCCCCCGCGCTCCCAGGCCCGCTTCCTCACTGTGATGAGTTGCCCAAAGCGTGGGAGGTTCTCCTTGATGTTTTCACGTCTCCTTCTTTCCAACTCCGTCACGTGTCTGGCCGCTGCCGGCCACCACTTCGTGGACATGCCTGAAGCGTGTAGAAGTCGACGAACTCGTTGCTTGATCGAAGCAATCATGGCCTCAGCTCTGCCATTTGATTGGTGTTCATCAGGAGGACTGAAAGTTCTAGCCAGCCCCCTCTCCAGGCACCACCTTTTGAACGGGTTGTTGTCGAACTCTCGGCCAGCATCTGTGTGGATTCTTGCCACAGGATAGCCGTGGCGTGTCAGCATGCCAAACAGTTCTTGCGTCCCGGCAAGGACTTCTGATGCGCTCTTCGAGGCCAATGGTAGGCAGATGGACATGGTGATCGTCTTGTAGACCTTCTGGTGCTCTTCAACCTCTTCTGGAGTCTTGGGAAGTGGCACCGACGACATTTCTGGTTCACAGGGTCCTGGATCTGGCAACGGCTGTGACTGATCACCGTCTCCTTCGCCCCATGTTGTTCATCCCCTTCATCAGGATCACCCATCTCCTGATCTTCGCCCTCATCAGACGTAGGTCTATAGGACATTTCTTCACCATGGGCATCCAAATCCTGAGCCAGGTCATACTCTACCTCCCGAAGGGCCTCTTCTTCTTCGAGTGTCGGCCAATCACCTCGAGCTGTTCGACGTCGTCCCATGAGCCTTCTCCATGACCGGCCACGTGTATGCCCCAACCAATAGGTATTTCTTGAGGTCACCATCAATGTCATGGCCGAGCACAAATGGGCCCGTCAAATCCAGTGAGAGCACACACGGAGCTGCTATCCCTTGAGCTCGATGTGGTCGATCCCGAGCAGCAGCTCTCTGACATACAGCGCAGTCCCTGCGGAACGGTACATGTCCCTGGGCGAGGTGCTCCTGCCAAGACAACGCCTTCATCGCCACCCGCCTCTTTTGGATGTTGATGGTGATGCTTCTTGCAATCTCTCGCATCATCCCAGGGGCCCATCTCGCCAGCTCTGAACTCGACACTTCGTGCTTGGTCTTCAGAAAGGCCTTGGGTGGGCCCCGATCTTCAGGAACCATGAACTCCATGTTCAGTGCCAGTGAAGTAGGTTTCACCGCCATTCCCCCATAGGCACCTTGGTTGAAGGTCACCAGATCCAAGTTGAGGTGCTCCTTCATGATCTTCCACTCTTCCGTCCTCCAGAAGGATGCCACTTCCGGCATATGCTGCGGCGCTGCAGGCTGCTCCATCAGGAACCTGACCGTCGGCAGCAAATTTGAGTTCTTCTCTTGGGACAGTCGCGCATCTCGAACCATTTTGGCCATCACATATAACGTCACCATGCATGCGCAACAGCAAAACGTCGTCCAAATGGCACTTTGCCCTTTCCACCTCGTCCAACTCATCCAAGCCCCACGGCCTTCCCAAAGATCTTGACGGCCCTGGTAGTCCTGTGACAGGATGGTGACGAAGTTCACTGCGAGTGCGGCAGTTGGGGCCCCCAATCACAGCATCGACCCAGCCCAGCATAGCAATGCGAAGCAGTGCTGCATACATGGCATCGTCTTTGGACATGTCGTGACTTTGGTTTCGAAGGATATCGACCTCCAGCAGTCTTGTAGTGTCCCCACCAGCCTCCTTGAGCGCCCGAGTGAGGTCGTAGCCTTCATTCTTGCCAGCATACAGATGAATGACCACTCCTTCATTCTTCCAGCGCTTGCGAATACGCCGGTTGGCACCAAGGACTTCAAGATTTCTTGCCGGAGAGTCTACTAGTCAATCCTTGATCCTGATCGGGGCCTTGTCGAAGATCGGACAATCCGCCACCACTCGGTCCAGCCAGTCCACGTCGTTGTGGGTCTCTCCAAACCGGTAGCACCTCAAAGTCGTTCTCGACCGAGACTCCTCCAACTCTCTGATGAGGTCCAAGGCGATGTCATGGTCCATCTGAGGACATCCAGTTTCAACTCTGAGATCGATGTTCCCCTTGACTGGGTGCTCCAAAGTGCAAGCTTCTCCCCATTCGATTCGACATCCCAAGTCGCGAACAAGCCTTCCTGCCGGGACGATGGGCTCCACGTTCTCGCTGTTGTGGACCAACGTCTCTCCTTCGGTCATCCGAATGTCTTGCGCTCCTCCAGCGGCCAAGGTCACTCTCACTTGCCGATATCGTTGAAGATCTTCTCCTCGTAGTTTCGGTCTCAAAGCGTGTGTCGCCCCAGAGTCCAGCAGCCCTTCTCGACCCGGTTGAACTCGAGCAATTTTCGCCGCCCGAAGCCCCGGCCCACCCTTTTCCCATGCTTGATTCAGCTTCTTCAACGTTGCCCCAGATTTCGATCTCTCTCGTTGCCCTTGCCCTCGACCACCTCGCTTCGCTGGTGTCGGAGTGACCGTCCCCATCAAAGATTGGAGCTGCTCGAACTGCTGCATGGGAGTCAACTCGTACAGGCGACATCTTTCCACCTCCAAATCCGTCTCCTTTGGGGGCTCGTCGACTGTCATCTCCAGCTGACGCTTCACAGACTCATCGCTCTGGCGTTCTGAAGGCCTGCTGCTCCAGCTCACGTTGAAGGTCATGCACCTTGGCTTCCAGGCTCGCCCTCTGGTATCCATGAGCTCTGCCTGTTGGATCTGCAGTTGTTGATTTTCTAGCTTCAACATCGCCAAGATGGTCATCATTTTTCTGCGGATTCGGCGGACCAGGGCCATAGGGATGTAGTTGAACTTGCCATCCTCCTTGATGTGGCATAGGTCCTCTCCTCTCTTCATGAGGCATGATGTAACCCGGTGGTCCATTCTGTCCAAAGCCCTTAGGAACATGTAGGCCTCGTCCTCCAGGTCCATTGCCATGAACTTGAACCATCATCTGTTCTCGGATCGGGACTGGTTCTTGACCATCACTTTCGCTTCCTGGTTCATGCACTTCAGGTATACCCGTGGTTCTCTTGGTCGGCCACGTCGTTGGTCTTCTGGTACATGATCCCCCACCAGTGCCGGTGATGGTGTCCCCGTCGTTGTACTCGTCTGCGGGAGTGCTCCAGCCAGACCCCCCTCCTTCGGCAGGAACTGCGGTCTGTCCCTTTTCACCTCTTCCGGAGACCTGCTCGCCATACCAGGCTGCCAAATGCTCTGCCTCGGGACTTGAGCATATAGGTGAGGAGCTTGGCTCTGCACTTCATGAAGTCCCTTCAGCTGTTCCGGTGTGAAGAGTGGGGTCATCGGTGTCAAGGTTGTAGGCGGTCCTTTCGGGCCTTCCAAGGTCTCCTCTTCCCCACCATCTTCACCATCCTCCAGAGCAAGCTGCTCTTCTTCCAGCTGCCGATCATGTAGTGGGAGGCCTTCCGGATCGGCTTCTTCTCCTTCTCCATCATCGCCAGGTTGCCGTCGTCTTCGGCGAACCATCATGGCCATTGCTTTCGCGTGCGCAGGGCGGCCCAGCGATCGACCTCCTCAAGCTGGGTCTTACACCTCCAACCTTGGGCTCATAACCTGAAGGTTTCAGCCTGAAGACCTTTTCAGGCTTGTGCAAAAGCGGCTTCCAACCGTCTCAGTTGGGTTCGTTTCAAGTGTCCGTTTTGGTACACCTTTCGTTTTGTGCGTGTCATCCTTTGCGGACCAGCAGTTTTAATGTTTTTTTTAATACCAAAGAACCATTGTTTTACTAAGGATTTTGCACTACACCACCCGCTCAACCGTTCTTGTAATGGTCTTTGAAGGCTAGGGCATTTGTTGGTAGACATCCCACACCCATGGTCTTCTTGTTCTGCCTTCAGACGTTTCTCGTCGATGTTCACATGACTCCTCGTCGTCCGCAGGTGTGTGTGGTGACTCACAGGCTTACTGGCCAGAGAAGGGCCTGTAAGCGAGTGGCCATCAACACTGACATGGCGGGGGGACCAAAGCCATCAGGGGTCAGCAGGGGGTCAGCAGGGGTGAGGGGAGGGTGAGGGGAGCATGAGGCGGATGTTTTTTGTTTTGGACGTGGGTGAACACCGTAAATGGGAAGAAATGGCAAAACGAGCTGGGCTTTGGGTTTGAGCATCAAGTCCTCTCTTCGAAATCTCCTTTTCGGTGTAGGCTTCCACCAATTCTGTTGGAGAGAGGGGTGGCCACAGTTGATGGCAGCAATGCAGGATCTTGATGAATCACCGATCCCATTGGGAGACTTTTTCGATCTGAATGGGGGGGCCTAGTAATCAAACTCCTACGTCTTAGCTTTGCCCCACCTGGTTGCGTTGCAGGGCCAGAAGCCTCGAGTCAACTTAAGCGCCTCCAGCAAAGGTTGAATCATTTGCGGAACCTGCAGGACGTGCTTCCAAACCAAGATGATTGACCAACGCTTGTCCGGCACCGGTCTTGACCATCTGAGTGTCGGTTGCCGATCAGGACCGGCGTTTGGTGGAGACGGAGATTCAGCTTCTGAAGAAGTTGGATCATGGCAATATCATGCGACTGTCCGAGCCTCTCATTAGCAGGAAGAAACATACGCTGAACGACTCCATACGTTTGTGCCTGCACTTGGGAGTCATAACCCACCCGAGACCAAGGGGGTAAAGTTTGGTCAGACTTCCAGGGTCTACGAAGCGTGGTGATTCTTGGATGGATTCGGGTGTTGCGCACTACGAACAGCACCGGCTGAGCGCCGGGTCGAAGGTGAGACATTGGATATCATTGGATGAATCCAGCCATCGTGTGCCACAAAGAAAGTACGTAGATCCTAAGTATCATTGGGTGTCGAAAGCCAGGTAAACCAACATCCAAGCGAGGTGTTGGGCTTTTGAAAAACCAGGTACGGTATATATATATAATGTATTATATATATATATGATTCAAATAGGCAACCAGCCATGAGTTTTATTTTGCCGTCACAAAAAAGGTGATCGGGTTGCTTGAATCTCGAGTCCCGTATGCCAGTATAAAAGCACCCATGGATAGAAAGGAGTGGATTAAACATAATTATGTTTAGTTTAGTCAACTCCTTTCTATCCATGGGTGCTTTTTTTTCTCGCGAGAAAGTCGCACAGTTTGCTGAGTTGCAAGAAAGTTCGGCGTGCACAAAAAAACCATCTAGGTGCTACGTGGATGGGCCCAGCTTGTATTTGATCTCTGCAACTTGGATTATCAATCGAACTCTTGCACAGAATTCTTTTGCAAGACTTGAGTGCAAGGGCATGAGAGTATTGGATGATAGTCGGATAGACCAAAACTTCAAACAGGCTATATAGGCTAATCAGGGATATACCGCTGACCCACGATCACATATTGTTAAGCAATCTTGTAATATGAGGTTGTGAAGCCAAGGTATCCCAATTCTTTCGGTCAGAATTCCCTTCGAGTTGCAAAAATGGCCCCACTTGCCCCAATCATTTAGCACTTGGCCTTTTGACTGAAAGTTGGGAAGTTGGAGAGCACCAAGGACCAATTTCCTTGACTGATATAACTGATTTTGCGCCAATGTTTCCCATAAGGGCTTCTGAGAGATCATGAATTTCATGAATTGATCAGCAAAGGGAAGAAACAGAAAAGCGTTGTCCCTTACCCTCCAATTTTGTTTTGCCAGTCGGCGAAACTTGGCACTTCGAACACCGAGTCAAACCATGACCTTCCAACAGGTCACCACCTGCGACTTTTAAGTCTACAAAAGCCTCCATTTCGGAGACCTGTTGGAAGGTGCTGGTAGTTCTGGAGCCTTATGTAGGAGTTTAAGGCACCCCCCCTCCAAAAAATAAGAAAACACCTGAAAACCGCGCCCTGGCGGTTCCCCCCCCGGTTGTAAAATGCGTTCCAACGCGTCGTCGCGAGGTCCTCCGTTCTCCGGTTCCGTCGCGCTCCGAGGAGCTCTGTGAGGGCGGCACCTTGCTCCAGGGCTTCGCCCGGCACGGCTCCGAAGCGCAGGCCGAGGGCTTCCGCCGTCGCTTCGCGCCGGGGGACCATGGCGGGACCGGGAGGGGCCGTGTGGTAGGTCGTCAGGGTGATGAACACCCGCATGGAAGACGGAAGGTGGTGTCATGACAGAGTTCTTATGGCCTGAATGTTGATGAAGATGACGCGCCCCAGGCAGCTGTGCGTGTGTGCACATGCGCGCAACATGTTTTGTTTAAGAATAAAACACAAGTGTTTTTGTACGTGTTTGCTATTATTTGATCTTTTTGTTGTATTTGAGGGAATTGTCGCATGGTCGCGCATTTCCTTTTAACGGAACCGTAACATACCGTAACCAAAAACTGCGGGAAAAAGAAGAAGTGAGAAGCTGAGAAACACATCGACAATGAACCAGAAGAAACATGCACCTCCTTCAAGCTTCACTACTACAACCAATTACAGTATATATGTCATGCGCGAAAGCGTCGTTCATTGCTGTCTTCCAGCATCTGCAAACCCCCAAACCCTACCTCCCTCCACCCCATCTTCCAAAGCGCGTGCCCTTGTGTCATGATCTTAGAAGCACATCACCTCCCGTCCCTCCTTGACCTCATGGACGCATGCATCACACCATCCAGAACATCGAATGTGCAAGGACTCGCGCAGTGCATCACGCAGTGCATCACAGCGCAACATTGCCACGCGCATCACAACATCCGCTCAGTGGCCATGCGGGTGTTTGAACACACCGCAAATACCGCAGGACATTTGCAGTAAGTGCTAGCGGCTAGCGTACGGCAGCAATTGGCAGTGATGAGGCGTGACATCCTGCACTGCTAGACAGCCCAGAGGTTCCATGATGGAAACTGCCTTTCTCTCAAACAATGCCTCCCCAGACTTGCAAGGGGGGTTGGTTATCCTTTTTCCAATCACCTTGAAGTGCATGAGACATTTGGATCGAATTCCAATCTGTCATTTTTGAGCGACAAATCCTCACAGTTCTCCCCTTTCTCGGACTTTCCACCCACCCCATCCGCGTGTCGGGGTCCACGGGTCGTGGTTGCTCTTCCGCTAGGCGGCTGCGGCGGTAAGGCAGATCTTGAGTGCCACTGCCTGGCACCGAGATTTCGGCCGCTGTCGGGTGTAGAAATGCTGCGGAGTTGGGTTCGTGACTGTGGACATGTGGACTTTCTATGGTGTTACCGTAGCTGGGTTCCTGGGAAGAAGATTTTTGTGCGAAGATTGCGAAGGAGGTGGAGAAGGAGGTGAGTTTCAGCAGCAAAAGGAAGACTTCTAGAAAAACGCGGAAGCTTTGGCCAACTGGATAAGCTTGCTTTTTTTTTTTGCAATGTTTGGGTAAAAGTTCTTTTGATACAGCAGTGGCAGCAAGGAGGGCAATACTTGTTAGGTGTGTGACCAAAGGTCAGGAGTGCTTTGTGTAGGCTCATGTAACTCATGTAGCCAAAGTGCAATATCATCATGTGGTGATGGATCAAGACGATCAACGGAGTAAAGCAACAGAGGTTGAAGAACCCGAACGTTCGACTATCCCAGTTCGGTACCCCAGTTCAGGTCACTGGCTACCTCTCTTGGAACGGCTGGTTGCAACCGTCCGCCGATGGGACCGATGGGGTGGCGACCGTGGAGACGGTGGACATCACGTCACCGCCCAAAGATACAGAGGTTAGCGCATGTGTCACTGCGCACTGTAGGAGGTTAGGCCAAGAGGGAGTGGGAGCAATGAGATATTTGCAACAGGTTGCCCACCTAAACTGCTTGTGCTCCTGGATTTGGTCTGGTTGTGCTCCGCGCCATCCATGCAAACGCCATGCAGCCATGCAGCGTCTTTGTCCACGTTGGACAGTGCTGGTGCTGGTGCTGAGTGCTGCTTGGCAGAGTTTGGCAGAGCTGCTTGAAGATTCCGGAAAGCCGCAAGGATCCTATTGGGCTTGGGTCTGGCGCGCAGAAAAAGCGTGAGAGCAAGGAGCATGGTAGATTGCCGGAACAAAACCAGAGTGAACAGCAGTGCACGGCAAGCTTGTTAAAACATGCTTCATTGCTTCACCCAAATCACCGAGGTTTGTGGGTTTGTGGCTTCTTGTTAAACATATACTATACTATTTGGTGATTTTGGGGACTGAAATGACGGTGCAAATGAAATGACTTGTTCCATCTCATGTGTTTGGACTTGTGTGTCCACCAGTCCCATCTCATCATGCATCGACCATCAACATCAAGAACACCAGAGGGTAGCTGAGCCTATCTCTTTGATTGATGTATTCCAAAGGGGACACTGGTGAGAGGGGAATTGGGGGCACTCCCCTGCCCCCCCCCCAAAAAGCACGTTTTAAGGAGTATAACTCTTATCCCATGTGCTTCTTGAATGGTTTCAGTCAACGTTTCGCATAAACATGTGCCAGGACTTGTGCAACAAACAACTTATCTCATAATTGGCACAACTCCTACTCACCTGGGGGGTAGTATAATTGTTTGTGACCCAGAGGGGTGCTGAAAGAGTGGGATGTCAGATGAATGGGGTTCTTCTGATAAATCCGGGGTGGCCCTTTTGCATGGCTTTGGGTCGCCCAGCATCTCTCCAGCATAAGGATCACCCATGCCAAACCAACATTATTTCATAAGATTTCGTAATTTAGACACTGGGTGTTGGAATAATTTGAAACTAGAAGAACAGAAACAGGAAACTGGCCCCTAATCACATGTCTATCGAGCTGTACTTTTCAGCGCCGGGGTTCTGACATTTTCTGAACTCAGAACCCTTAGATACTGTACTGTAGCAACAGCAAAAGCAGTTTGGTTTGGACAGTCCTTTGAATCATGATTTCACAGGCATTTCCAGCATGTGGACTGTGGAGGTGTCCTGGCATCCCCCACTTTTGTGGATGCCAGGGGCGAGCTTCATGCGGCTTCATGGCATTGTGGGACAGGAACTTCTTGCATTCCTTGTTTTCATGTTCCGCCCACACCTGGAGAACTTCCACGAGAAACGCCTCGGTCACGCGACACTGGCCCAGACTTCGGTTTTTCTACGTCGGATCAACATCCATGTCACGACGGTGGATGAATTGAAAACAAGCCTCAAGACCCAAGCCTGAAGAGGTTTGAACATCCATGTCACGAAAGGTAGCTTTGAGCTACCTGAGGTTCACCCCCTCCTCTCTCCAGTCTGTGTGTGTTTGTGTGGTGGTGAGTTCTATCTTCAGTCTACCTGTAAGGGTCCGCACCAGTTGAACTGCCAGGTGGAAGCGGTGGAAGCGGTCACCCAGACGTTCCACCGACCCCCGGCCGCTGGGCGAGGCAAAAACGTTTGGCAAACAAGAACATGGTAGGAACCCTGGGTTTTCGAACAAGAAGCATGCTACTTGAGTGGAGCTTGTGACTTTAAGACAGACTTCTGTATGCTTTGGTCATCTTCCACTGCGATATTTTTGTTGAGGCGCGTGGTCTTGCAGCGTGGGGTAGTTTTCGTGTGCGGCCACACCCCTCCGGGCCACCCGGTACATGCATGCGGTCTGCAGCCCTCAACGTTACTCTGTCAAGCTTCAAACAAGAATATCACGCGCAAGCTCCCATGACTCAATATGAAGCGATGCTGTTACCAAGAGGCCAAGAAGGTAGTGCCCAAACCGATCAGCTGTGATATCAATGGCTACTGTGCCCGTTATGTTCGGGGAGGCTGTGGAACAAGTATGTTGCGGTTGATCATTTGACATGTGTAAAAAGTCTCAGATAATAACGCAAGTTCAGTTTAATGTGAAACATAATATCAATCCTTTCGCTCTGTATTCTTTCTTTCTTTCTTTCTTTCTTTCATAACAATCTCGTTCTCTCTAACAATTGGATTGGATGTTTTATGATTCTGTTTTTCAAGTGTATCTGGTTTAAGTGCCTTCACATGTAAGGACGCTGCATGCAGTCCTTGATTGAACGTTACGCCTACAATCCAGCATCCTACCAAGCATGCGCAAGCAAGCAAAACAGGAGTCCCTTCTTTGTGCACAGGTTTCTTCTTTACCCCAGCTTCAGGTCTCTTCGCCCCTGAGCCGCTCTGAAGTCCTGGCACTGCGCACGGCGTTTAGCGCCAAGTTTGGCGCGAGCTCGGGCTCGCGCGAGCCCACGGATCTGTCGTCTGGGCGGCGCTTGTGACTTGGTGAAGAGACTGAAGGTAAGGCCTTGTAAGGTCTTCCCGCGGTCACAAAGGGGTGCCTATTGGAGGAAGTCGGGGTGCCCATTATCCACTCACTGGATGGGACTAAAAACCATCCCTGGAATGTGACTCCTGGTTAGTTTGTTGTTGGCATGCATGTCCTTAGGTGGAGGTCTCAAGCGAACCGGACTTCGCTTTCGATTCTGTCAGGGGAGCCGAGCCATGTCGACGTGCAAAGGGACCGACGACGTTCCGGCAAAGGGACCGGAAGGTCTGTATGTCGACGTGGGGACAGTGCTCATATGCTTTATGTGGGTGGAACGATGTTCCCAGCAAAAACCTGCAGCGGACCCCTGTAATTCGCTGCCGTCCAATCAAGACGGACAACTCCTGCCGTTTACTAAGGTTGCATGGTCTTCCCATGCGTCTGACTGAGCAAATTCGAAGAGACTGGCAGCTGGTTGAGAGCGACAAGGCAATCCATTTGCGAACCGGTCCAGTGGAGTGCGGTGGTGGCGTGCGTTGTTGTTCGTCAAGCACGCTTCGGGTTGGAGCTCAAGTAGCACAGGTTGTTGAAGAACCTTGCTCAATTGTGAGTGAAGTGGAAGGGTGCACGGTCCACGCGTATGGATTGAACTCACCGAAAAGGTGGCAGATGAAACTCCAGTCTGTTGGAGTGTTTCACGATGTTTCACGATTATGTACATTGCACCCCCTTCAGATCACTAATTACGTTGGTAGAAGACCTCCTGCCCTGGTTGAATCCCTACCGCGCTGAAATTGAACATACTTGAATTAAATTAGTGATAGTGGATATATATATATATGTACAGCAGAAGACCAACTGTGGACCAAGTGGATACTCTCAAACCGTCCAGTCGTGACCTGCCACATGTCACCTGGCGAAGGTGCAGCAGGTGAAAGTGTCCCCAGGCGGCCCCGGCGAAGCGGCCGCCTGGCAATTTCTTTTCAGCGGCGCGTGGTTCGACCGGATTATTGGAGGGCGGTAGGTGGAGTGGCTATGACATCTATGACCCGTGTTTTCCCGTTTGCATGATCGGCAGGTAGTGAACAGCAGAATCCAGGATGGTGACTGTTCTTCAGCATCGGATCTTTTCCACACAAATGTGGCCTATAGCATGGCACAGTCCCCTACTCTGGGATGGCGATTCTGACGGTGCGCATGGTCCCCAAGGTGATCACTTGGCTCACCCAAGATCGGCGTTTGCCTAGTAGCGCAGCAGCAAAGGGGGATCCGGCTGGATATGAAACAATTCCAAATCCCGAGCAATGTTGCTTTCCAAGAGGTTCCGAACACTGGGCTCTGGGTTTGTGCCAAGACTGAATCAACTGTGGACAGCAAGTTTTTGGAGTTTTCTACAGCCACGGTTCGGCTAGACTTCTATCCGTCACGGCTTTCACAGGATTTGTGCACTTCCTTTACTATTTGGAAGCTTTCGCTTCATCGTGTCTGGTAAAGCTTCCGAATTGTGGACTCTTGCTGGCCACATGTTATTGGAGCCCTAGAAGGGATGAGGATGAGCTGAGGTCTACTTCTTGCTTTGAAGATTTGGCCTCCTATGTTGTGTTGATGCATGCATTGTTGCGTGTGCTTCTGGGACCTTTGGAGCTGGAGGTTGGCTGCGTTTGAACACTTTAGACTCACGCCCCCCTATTAGTCTGCCCATGTGTGGTCCCAGCTAGATGGGGGATCAACTCAAGACAGCTCAGCGCAGGCAAGAGCCCGCCAAGGTGTAAAGCGAAAGCAAAGCTGAAGCAGGCAACAATGTCATTGAATTCTCGGACTGCGTCCAGAGACGCCATGACCAACAGAAAGTGTGCAACCTCATCCACACTCCATATGGAGCTGAAGCGTGCAAGCTTCTGTTCCATGCGGCTCTACAGGCGCACTAGCTTGTGTCACCCCCAAATAAGACTGCGGCTGAGTCTCCTGCCCGACATGTTTAATTTTGTTTGGTGCCTGGGCCCTGTGATTAACTTCATGGCTGACGCTGCTTTTGCCATATAGTGCCATAGTTGCTGGATTCCATTCCACAAGGCGTCAAAAACCACAAGGGGCTTGGACCTGTGCTACCATCTGGTATTGAGGTCTTTGGAAAGGGTGTTGGGCGGATTGGAACTTCCCGTTACTTTGGGGGTTATGGGTTCAACTTGGGGGCAGGTCCCAGCAGCAGGAGCCGGTTGAAACATTTATTGTCAGTTTGTGTCTTGTTGGTTAACGGTCCTCGTCATCGTCGTCGTCATCCGCGAATTTGGGGCCGAGGTGCATATATAATATATATATATACTCCAAACACCGAGGGAGCCACGGAGGTGATTTGGTTCTTGCTTTGCTGTGTCCCTTGCTGACCATACCCTTGTGACAGGTGGAGATAACCATGCGGGGTTCCGACAATGTATAAAACGCATTTTTCTTTCAAGACTCATTTCGTGCTCGGTGGATTGAGTGGGGACAGCGCTGCTCAATGCAGACTCACCGAGGCCTTGTTGAGTACCAGAGCGCCAGAAGTGTCTTCAGCCGGACTGCTCAGGGCGAGGTCAATGTTTACACCACCCAGATTTGCTTGCCAAATTCACAGGTGCGCCGTGTGCTGGCGATGCGAGTGGGGGTGGAGGCGTGCATATATACGTCTCACATACTCCTCCGTGGGGCCAAAGATGTGTGGAAGTGACGATGAGCGGAAACTGGCCGATGTTTTCCTTGAGAAAAAGCCATGACTGTTTTCATACACGTCAAAAAAACCCGACAAACAACACTCCCCCGCAACTGGAACAACCCTTGCAGTGACCCAGCTTCGGCCCCTTGCTCAGGTGATGGCAGATCCGTTGCTCGGCCCTCCGAACATCCCGCTGAATTACGACGAGCCTTCGGCAGCACGGAGCTCGTGCAGTGCCCGGGCTCGGAGTTCAACCGGACCGATTCATGGAGCTCAGCAGGCAGTATACCCGTTCGGCACACGTTCGGTTTTGCTGGGTCTGAACGGGAACCATGAACGATGCAAGCTGTACCTTGGTGACAAATTGGGGTTTTCAAAGGCTTGCCTCAGAAGTGAAAGAACCACAGTTGCTGCCATCGAAATGACAAGCACCTAAACAGACTAAAGCTGCAAAGTGCTGCTGTACCTGAGTATCAATGAATATCGTTTCAATGAATGTAGGCAACCACCCATTCCGTGGTCGACAAGTCAGCGCATCATTTACCTTTACAACTCAGTATACTCATCACTTACCTATACAACCCAGTATACTAGCCAAGCCGCATTCCTGTTGAAGTGTATTTTACGTCGATGGCAATTCCGATCTCATCAGGGGACGCTGCCAACCTCACGATCTCAGATTCTTCGCTCCTCTCCGAGGAGCTCACCAAGCTGCTGAACACCTCGTCCTTCTTGCCGCCAGCCACTGGGGTGAAGTCGAGTCACAGGGGTCCCTGATCCATGGAGTAGGGGGGGCCGTCCCAGACTGGGTGAACAGCCAAGACTGAACCGCGTGATAAGACAAGAACAGTGACAAGAACCAGATTCAATTGATCTTTATATATATATATATTATATCTATAATTGGGTTTGTCCTATTCCCTGTAACAGTCAGTAAACAATTATGACCATTTTTGAACAAGGCCTTCACTAACCATCATCATCCACTGTTACAGGTATTAGGATAGACCCAATCTAATACTCTTATGCGCACTGCCCTTCGGACTGTTCGGAGTCGCCGGGGCAGCGACCCAGATACCACAGTGGGCATCCTGTTCGCGCCTGTGCGCTGATCGGCCTTCCTGAGGCGAACCTCGAACCGACGAAGAAAACATCCACTACCAATAGAACTGAGGTCCACCCCCGTTTCAGGCCAGCCCAGAGCATGGCGCAACTGGCCCCATTTTGCCGTCTTGAGCACTCTTCGTTCAGCGGCTAAAGGTTGTTTGCGTCCAAGGGTTAGGTGGTTGGTCCGACGCTCCGGAAACCAAGTCACAACCAATAAAGCGCCTAAAAACAATGAAAGCTCAACAAAAGTGACCAAGCACCAACGGTTGCTCGCCCCGTCCAAACCAATCAAGAAGCTAAGGAGCCTTGACACAAACTCAGGCCTGATTGAAGCATCGTCAGGTAAAAGGGTCGTCCAATTGAGCTGCAGTCTCTCGAGAGGGCTTCAAAAGTCTCTGTACGGGTCGGTGCAATCGAGATTGCAATCTGCACGATCGATATACTGTAACAAAACTCATTCAAATCACTAAACGAATTCTCAACCTCATGCGTCGGCTCAGTTCGGCTCTCAACATCCCTCTTTGCTACTGCCAAATGTAGAGCAGTGATCTTCCTAAAACGCACATGGTCCTGCTGCCGTTTAGCCCTGTAACGCGCGTACAACGCAGAAAACCAGCAAGGTCTGGATATAATTGCAAATTTCGCAGCCAGGTCTGCCTTAGAGTTGTTGACCCTGCACCAATCCATAAAAGGGCTTTCACTCTCTTCAGCAGATGAATGGCTCGGGATCTTGTAATGCGAAAGATGCCTGCACTGCCTGCACTGAGCTCGAGCTCTGCAGCTATCTGACTCCAGATGTCAGCATTCTCAAGATGATCAACGCAACAATCCCCAGCCTGAATGCATCTATATAAGGGTTTCCACAACGTTCTCGCTGTCTGACCAGATGTGTGTGACATCCGGCTCACTGGGCGCCGACTGGACCAGCCCTGGACAATCTAAGACTATTAAACACATTTTGTATTCCGGGAACCGGAAACCCGGAGCCCTCCCTTGGATCCTCTTCTCCCCAAGAGTTTCTGTTTGTACTCACCGGGGGGGTCAGGAGTCCAGATGTGTCTGAGAGTTGATCACGTGCCGCCCTCAGGAGAGCGACTCTTGGCGTTTCTTGGGGCCCAATGCTGATCCCTGGGAGTTCTTAGCCAAGACCAATTTCTGCATCGACTACAAGCAGCTTGATCTAAGAAAAGGAACCGGCACATCGAATTGGTTTGGAATCGGACTTGCATGGAGTTGGATCCGGGGATGCGGAGGAGGGTGTCTTTGCAGAAAATGTCTTCGGGAATGACCCCCAAACCACTGGGGGTTTGTCTAGTCTGTTGGTGCGACAGATGTCATCATGTGATAGGGTGGTGCGCTTTTTTTGCGCATGCAAAAAAGCTATCCCCGGTGGTGCGAGGCTCCCTTGTTCTGAGACAACCACTTGTAGGATCCCATACCCATCCCTGCTGTAGGTATGAAACCTGCAGTGCAAGAAAAGTAACCTGGCCTATTATGGTTGTGAATTAGAATAGGGAGACGCCCAAAAGACACCCGCTGGTTGGATATCTCCCTATTAAAATACACACCCACATCAACGGCGCCATGTGTTGTGTTGGTGATTGTTGGTGACTTAGTTTTTTCGATCTCGTCAAGTAAAAGACATGGGCGCCCGTCGACGCCGACGTTCTCCAAACCACCCACAACGAACAGGGTTTGGTATGTTTGGTTGTCTCTGGAACCTCTGCGTCCGGTTGCGGGTCATCCCAACCATGGAGTGCAACGAAAGCACTGTCTTTGGTCGAGAGGAAGGAGCTCCCGGCTCAACATCGATTTGCTAACCCGACTCGTGCTTCCAAAGTGCAGTGATTGCTTTCGAACCCAACTGGGCTAGACGGCGATCGAGGAATCCGAATGCCTACTACACCAGCCCATACATCCACACCGTGACGCTGCGGGGCCTCGGAGGCTCCACGGACTACAGCTTCCGACCCGCAGGGAGCAGCAGGCGGGAGAAGACCAGCTTCCAAGCTGGTTCGGTCGGTACCAGCGCCACGGAGTTCGGATGGGCACCCATGGGTGGTTGCCAAGACACCCCTGCACCAGGTCTTTTTCTCGTGGCTTGATGTGTCTCTCTGTCCGATTAAGGAGAACCGGAAGGACCAATGAAGGTGGGGATGGAAGGTGACTGGTGGGGATGAAGATGGCAATGGACAGAATCAGAACATGACAGAACTCTTTCAGTCCATCGATAGGTTGTTCCTTGTGCCCTGACCCAGGATGATGTGGGATGGCAAGGAATTCAACGACGGCAGGCAAATATGACACCAACTACACTACACTCCGGGAAGTATTTTCAAGAGGGGTTTGCCCCCCCAACCGACAACACCGCTTGGGACTGGATTCAGCCTGGCTTTGGGGAATAGAAACCTCCGCCAACTGACGCAATGCAGCGCCGAACGACCTGGGAGGTCGTTTCACTTCAAAACGCCGCCGAACGCTGGGGCCAATGCCGCGCCCATGCGCTTGGGAGTCTGGGTGGCTTGGCGTGGTCGACTGCCCTTCAGAGTGGTTGGGGTGCAAGGCACCAGCGGTGAAGTGGCCAGATTTCTTTGGCTCCGGTTTGCCCCGACACCCCCAAAAAGGCAAAAGGTACGTTGTCTTACTGTGGGACACGTAGGTGGCGAAGGCGAATTCGGCAAACGCAGCGCACTCGGGTGGACAGCGCCAGGTGCCGTTCGCCACGGGAGGGCGGGTTTTGAGGAGGCAGGTTTGGTGGACCACCGTTTTGGAATTGGTCTACCCTTACAACCATGAACACGCATAATGAGACATATAGTCAGACATAGATGATATGTGAAAACCATGTGTTTTCCATGCTCTCTCCCCCCCACTCCTCTCCCAGACACACCTCATGATGCAGGATTTGCATTTTCGTCCCAAACGAAAATGAGCGCCCCCTGCAGCCCCTCAGCACCTTCAGTGGCGGAATTCTATGACATGCACTGCGGGCGGAAGTGGCTAAGTGCAGCCAGCCAATGGGGCTTTTTATTTGATCTGTTCTTCCTTTTCGCCCTCTATCGGGTGAGTTGAAAGACAGCACGCTGGGGTCGGTCAGACAGAGAAACGACTCAAACTGACTGATGGCTAGGAGTCTAGGAGGATCTTTTTTTCCGAACCCATCGGCAGACTGTCCGCGTTGCTTCACGCCCAGCTGCGTTGGTTCAAGACCTGCCCAGCTGCGTCACCGCCCTGTGCCAGGCGGACATTGGCATCACAAATGTGAGTTTCGGTACCCTGGAGGATTGGAGGGCCCCGCCCTGAAGGGACGAGTTTGATGCACTTCTTCAAAGAATGGTTTGGTTTGTAGTGTTAGTATGTGTTAGTTAGGGAGTTAGGGAGTTGATGTTCTGAGCACCCTGCATCCCCATGCAACCCCTCCAAGAGCCACCCCGCACTGGAACTCCTGGCTGGCTCTTTGACTCAGGTACGTCTGAATCTTCCATGGTGGACATGTTTATCATTTGTAATGATGTGAGCCCATGTATGTTTTCTAAATACCATGTCATCCGAAGGTAGTATAATTCATTTGCATACTATTGCGTTTGTATAGTATAGTGTATTTATGTTCTAGGGCCACTGATCAGGGATTCCTTTGTCTTCCTTCTACTGTTTCCGATGGTTTTTCCGGGTTTCGGACGGTCATTGAGCCACGGTCAGACTCGATGTGTTTGGAAGATTCATTGGACATCGTGGACACATACCTGACATACCTGGTCTCTTTTGAGGCCTTTCTATATTACTCGATGGACTCGCGGAAACTAAGGTGTAATGTCAAAGATGCTCGACCTGGAACCAGATTTGCTCGTGACTGTGACCAGGATGCACAACTGCTACAACATTTTGCTTGCTTGTTTGATCTGGAGACCTTCTCTTATGGAGACCTCGCAGGACTTGATACCCTGCTTGGCGCACCTATCACTCAGGTTTTCTCGGCCCCCAAGCCTGCGGGGAGGGTGGGACACGACAGATGGGACCGGCGCAGTCCCAAATAGAGAGGTTTCAGTTACAGCTTCAAAGTGTCCAATCCCATGGAGTTTGTTGGGGGGGACGAGGCTTTTTCGAGAATCCTGCTCCTCAGGTCGGAGACCTGTCCTATGCCGATGGCTGGGCAGAGCGTTGGGACATCTTTGGCTGCTCAGCACTCAAGATGGGGAAGATCATGTTGATGGTTGATTCATCACCTGCCCCACCCGGATGGTTCGTTTAAAAGGGCTTGGGAGGTGTTAGGAAATCAACAGTCAACATTATACTTGCACCCCTCTTGACTAGTTAAGTGCCCTTCTGCACGTTGTGGTCCTTAGTTTCGTACACGTCGCCATCCTCGCGTGCAGTGGTCGAAGCTGTTCTCCTAAATGGCCGCGGCTGGTCCCAAATCGCCATCCCTGGCTGCAGTGATCAATGCTGTTCTTCGTGCCGCAGCTGGTGGCAATGATCAAACCCCCAAATCGCCATCCTCGGCTGCAGTGATCAAGCTGTTCTCCCCTCTGTTGTTGCTGCATTGCTGCATCTCTCTTTTTCTATATATCTTCTTCTCTCTTTGTCACCCTCTCCATATCTCTTTCTCCTTGGTTCTTTCAAACAATTAAAGGAAATGGTTCACTCAAGAATTTCGACCGAGCGCATGGTTCCATCCAGGGATGATGATGGAGCCCCTGATGTCGAGCCGCTATCACCTGGCGGTCGTCGGGAATCACGAGATCATTCAGAACAACGGCCACTCGATGCGTGGACCGCGGAACTTTGTTTCTTTTGGATTCGCACCACGAAAGGAATCCATCGGCGATCGCTGTTTTTAGGGTGTTTGCGGGCAGCAGCGTGGCTGTATTTTGTGTGTTTGAATAATTGGGAAAAGCACAAAGATGAGGGGGTCACCAACTCTCTAACAATCCCTTTGGCCCCAAAGAGGGAACTCCTGCAGGGTTGGGCCATATACAACTGCCGCGTGGACAGTGGGTTTCTGACAAATCTACTCACTACTTGATTTGACCAACGACTGAGTGGTTTTGTCTCGGCTTCATTCCCTGAGGTGTTGATTTCATCCATCGCTATCCGATGCCGTTCCGGCAGTCTGGAGCACCAGGACCCTACATGTTCGCGTATGAGAGTGGACTGCTGCAGCTCTTTCTCGCACAAAAAGAAGCTCTTTCTTCGCCAGTTGAAGGTTTGAAGTTCGTACATTTTGGTCAGAGACTCTCTATATATATATATATATTTTTTTTTTAAAGGGGGTTGTGAAATAACGGAGTCCTTTTTCCATAGGGTGACCAGAATCAGAGCCACAACCAGAACTAATTGCAAGAGAGGCGCAAAAAAAAAACACAAACTTTGAGGCCCTTGCTTGGTGTTTCCTTGATTTTTCTTGCCGGTACGTAGATCCAAACAACTCATAAGTGGATCCTTGAATTGTTCTTTGCATGCCTGACTGGGCCCAGCGCAGACCACCCAGGTATCTCATCGGCTTGCCCGGGAGCTACGCCCCGACCGCGAAGGGTTCACTGCAGTGGAGCTTTGCGGAAGAGAAGCTGATGGAGGTGGACCGTGAACGGACGCCTTGGGTGGTCGTCGTCTTCCACACCCCCTGGTACAACAGTGACTGAGTTGGAGGACCTGAGGACGTCTCAGTGAGGGAGTCTGGAGGAGTCTGCAAAAGGATGCAAAAGGCTTTTCAGTGAGGGCAGGTGAAGATGGTGAAGATCTTTGGTGCAGGTTGCTTAAGGTTGTGAAGGTGTTCGTTTGAGGTCTTAAACTTAGAACCGGTCACACCTGGTCGGTCGCACGGTCCAGGTGGGTTGGCCAGTCACGGAGGTATGGTAAGCAACGTAGGCTCCCCAGACTCTGGCGATGCGGTTGAGGATTGGCCCCCAAATTCCCGTGGGAACTCACGCAGAACTTCTCAGCCACCGGAACGCGCCCGTGGGAGAAAAATCATGGCAATGGCCCTCTTTCAGACGATCGCTTCAACTTCCGAGGCAACAATGCTCATTTCGGAGAAGGCATGAAGCATCAGTGGGAGACCTGGCGCACCCAGAACCCCAAACCACCCCACTTCCGTTCGTGCCTCGCGTTCGTTGCCGCCACTTCCCGACTTTGAGGGCACTCAGGTTCCTTCATCCATGTTGACTTTTTATCAAGCTCCATGTTGGCCCTGCCATGTGGCTGTGAGCCGAAGCATCAAAGGTTGACGGCCCCCCAAACTCCTGAAATTCGGGGAATCTCTTCAATTGACCGGGTCCATCAACCAGGTCAAACCAGGCTTTGGACCCACCCCCCATGTGGCTGGACGTTCTTCACCCTTCTTCTTCGGCACCTGGAGACCTTTCGTCGAATTGCGACCCATTCAAGCATTACCCACCGGGAACGGGGAAGCATGCTCCACTGGTGTCACGGATCGTGTGGCATAGTGACATAGTGGTTCCAGGATCTCTTTTGGATTTCTCCCATCCGCTGATTCTGCACACAACCCATTGGTTGCGTCTTTTCAAGAAGCAGAAGGACGGATAAAAAGAGAGTATCGAAGGAAGTGCATGGAGCAGGGGTGCATCTGGGTCCTCTCCGTGTAAGACAAACGCAACCTACTACTGGACCTAGTGCAAAGACCGCAATGACCACCCCACTGGAGATTCCTGGCTTGTTCCATCTACACAATCATGGGAATCGGACCAGGGCCTCTTGCAACGCTTCTTTCCTCTGCAGCACACACACCCACACCCACACTTAGACAAGGGTTCATTCAGTAAGATAACCCACGAGGAAATGAATGCAGGAACGGAAAGGTGGCGGAGTCAGCGAAACAGAAAGATTTTAACATCTTGTCGCGCATTAGCCCTTTACTATTAGTTACTGAATACGTAGCAGTCTTGAATTACGGCCGTGCAGTAGTTAGGGGGCCAGACCGCCCGGGTAGAGTAGACTAGAACAGGGACAACAGAAGGGAAGGCACCGACACACACACACACCGCCCTGGTAGAGTAGACTAGAAAAGGGACAACAGAAGGAAAGGCACCGATGCAGGTATAACTGGTTACTGAATACTTTGCGGTCTTGCATTACGGCCGTGCAGTAGTTAGGGGGTGAGACCGCCTGGGTAGACTAGACTAGAAGAGGGGCAACAGAAGGAAAGGCACCGACACACACAGTGTGTCGAGTCCACTTCCTTCTGTTACCCTGTGTGGAACTGCAGGTACGTTTACAGCTCTCACCATTGGCCTCTTTGTTGGCCATCCACCAATAGTGAGAGGGATGGCCCCCTGCTTTTTGGTAAAACAGCAAACCTCCTCAAAGCGGAGGGGGACACACACACACACTTCGAACTTGAATTCTTCAGTTAATGCAAGTATCACGTTGGGAAGGAAGGTGATGGAACAGCAAGGCGAAAAGGTCCAAAGACTTGAATTGTTGAAAAAAGTTTCACTCGCGCGGCTAGCTGCAAGGCTGAGGACTGCGGTGGGAAACCTGTTTGAGGGGAGAGTATCGTGATCAAACCACCATGGCATCAAAACACAGCAAGGAAGAGTGGGGTAGTGTCACGAGCAGGTACACGGAAGTGATCAGCTTCCGCTTCCTAGGAGCTTGCAAGGAGCTTCGTTGGGCAGAGCCTTGCAAGTCCTCTCTGCCCCCCTGCTTGCGAAAGGTGGTGGTGGAAAACTCTTTGTCCAGGGGTGGACACACACACACACAGCGCCGCATAGCGGCGCTCACTCCGGCGGAAACCTGAATAGCGACCTAACAGCAAGCCGTAGAAGAAGAAAAAGAAGAAGCAACAGGAAAAGGGCAAGAAAGAAAGATAGGTGTAGGGGCATGCATGTCGGCCGAAGGCCAATTGCGGAATCAAAACTTGAATAGCAACCTAACAAGCCTTAGGAAAGAAAGAAAGAAAAAGCAAGACGAAAAGGGGAAGAAAGAAAGATAGGTGTAAGGCCATGCATGTTTGCAGAACGAGCGGCAAGTTACGGAGTCAAAACCTGAATAGGCACCCAACAAGCCTTAGAAAGGAAAGAAAGACAGAAAGAGAAAAAAGAAGAGGGCAAGAGAGAAAGGTGTAGTATAAAAGGTAAAACTAGTTACTGAATAGCGGTCTTGAGGGGGCGAGACCGCCCGGGTAGAGTAGACTAGAAAAAACAACAGAAGGAACACCGACACACACATTGTGCCGAGTACCATTTCCTTCTGTTCCCCTGTGTAGAACTGCAAGTAGAGCGAAACCGAGGGGCAGGGAAACGAGCCTCAAGAACAACCTAACAAGCCTGAAGAAACACCTAACAAACCAAGAAGGAAAGGGGGGAGGGGTGGGGGTGGGGGTTTATTCGCCGTAAGCCCGGCGGATTTCTATCCGTGTGCCCGGCGGAGAACCCACGAGGAAATGAATGCAGGAACGGAAAGGTGGCGGAGTCAGCGAAACAGGGGGTTATGCGACGCACATGTGAACGCAAAAGAGACAGATGAAAAAGAAAGAGACGAGACAGACAAAAAGTGTGTGTGGTTGCCGATGAAGAAGAACCAAGTGAAGAGGGACAACCGATGAGCCAAACCTCATTGTAACAAACCTGGGCCACCTGAACCCAGTTGTAAGTGGAATACGCGTGCGTGTATGTGTACAAGCTAAGGTCCGGACGAAAGAGCACGCAAGAGAAAGGAAAGGGTGAGGATGAAGAGACATGAAGACAGAATGACATGAAAGAAAAAGAAGGGAAGACGTCTGTGGGGGCCAATGAAAGGGGAACCAAATGAAAGCGGACAAACCGATGACAGACCCAACCTCATTAAGAAACCTGTTGCAAAGCCTGTTTTGCTTGTAAGTACGCCGCGCGCGAGAGAAGAGGGGAAAAAAGAGGAAGAGAGGAAAGGGAGAGAAAGGAAGAAACGAAGGTGCTCCCAGCTACGACACAAGCGTCCAGGGACACACCAAAAAGGAAGGGCTCCCAGCTATGACGAAAGCATCCAGGGACACCCAAGGAGGAGGGAAGGGGGCAGCTACGAACCAGCGTCCAGGGACACAGCTAGAGAGTGAAAGGGGTGTACCTGAGTATTCCATTCAGGAACACCCCAGAAGGCAAAGAAGGGGGAGGGAAGGGGGAGGAAGGGGGGGTTAAGTGCTCGGCAGATTCCATCAAGTCTTGAACACGCTTCGGCCGCTGCGGCCTCGTACGCCGTGCCAAAATGGCTGGCAGCTTTGACCGCTACGGTCACGTAAAGGCATGAGCCGTGAGCCAGCTTGGAGTTCAATAATCCGACAAATCCTTGGCAAATAACTTTGGCATAAGCCTACTACGCCCGCTCTGGGCACGTGCGTTTCCACGGCATTGGGAACATAGACCAACACCCGTTCAACGGGTCCACAGGGGCCACTCTACGGGGTCACCCTGGGCTCTCACTAGGAGAGACACACTTATAGAAATGCGTACTGATGTGAATGCGGTGCCACACGCCAGCCTAAGTGAAAAACCTAAGAAACCAGGACAGGTACATGTACGGTGGGTACTCCAAATCGACAACTCCAAAGCGACAACGCATGACTGCCGAGTGCATAACCGATGCAAAGGCTGGATGTCTTGTTCTAGCTTCAAAGGGGCAAAAGGAAATAAGTGGTGATCATCGTCTCGCAGGTACGTGCAATCTGCGTCCAGATTGCATATCACAGCAAACTTGAAGTGTCTGACTTCAAGAATGCCCTCCGCTCCCCTGCACAACACCGAAAGGTGCCCTGTGAGTCCAAGGGTTACACACACACACACTGAGACCATAGGGCCATAGGGAAGGGTGAAGGGTCTTCATCGCTTAATTTCTGGTTTTTGCTGAGGATATGGAAGAGCTCTTTTACCAGCATGGTGTGGACTTGGTCTTCAACGGGCATGTCCACAGCTATGAGCGGTCCTTTCCAGTCTACAACCATTCGCGGAATGAGTGTGGCCCGGTGTAGGTTCAACGTCGGCTGGGAATCATGAAGGATGTGAAGAGGTCCAAGCTCATACTGTGAACAAGTAGAGTCATTGCGATCGATGGGCATGAGAGAGCTCACTAAACCCATACGTATCATACACAACACACATATCACATAGGCCGGTTGATGGGGGGGGCCCTGAGGAAATCTCGTGCTGGTGATCCAGTGGTTCAAACTGTATATTCTTGTCTCAATAAAAATTTGTCCAAAAGTCGGTAGCTGCTCGGGTTTTCGCTCGATATGAGTTGATATGAAATTTACATTTCCTATTCTGTTGTGAGCCATCGTTGTAATGACGATTCTTTTGATAGTACCTTACAATTTTTTGATCAATGTAGATGTGCCGAGCAAGGGCGTTGCCTTGATGAGAGAGCCATTTGCTGCAGGCTCTCTCTGACGGTGGTAGGTATGGTGATGAGAAGATTCTGCGGATTGAATCCATCGCCAGATTCTGTCAGGGTGGTAAGGTTGACTGACTGAAAAGCCATCTGAACTGTTTTCGGCAACCTAAAAGGAGCACCGCGCGCTCGACAGAGGAAGTGGGGGCCCTCTGACAATGTTCTATATTGCCCCTTTGTTGCTGGCCGAGAACCAAGGACCAAAAGCCATCAACGAATGGTTGGCCCCGTAAACGGCATCTGAAGAAGAACTCTTGAATCCTAGAAATCCAGCAATCAAAAACATTACATAACTGATATGCTATTCCCACCCAGTCAGTGGACAACCTTTAACATTTTTTGGTGATTGGTTTTTCCCCTTACGCAAGAACAGGCCGGAAAGTGCGGTGAAACATCGTGTTCCAGGGAAGCCTTTAGATTTAGATTATTTTCGTCCACCTGCTCAGGTGGCACCACGCACATTGTCGTGGGCGACGGGGGCAACTACGAGGGTCCCGCCATCTACGAGGGGCATCCACCCGGGTGGCGGACGCCACAGCCGTCCTGGAGCGCCTTCCGAGAAGCTTCCTATGGACCAGGTGGGAGGATTGGGCTGGGGAGGCGTATGGAGGCCTTGGCGGGGGGCTTGGGATAGGGGTAGGCCTATGGAGGCCATTTGACGTCGCGGCTCGGTGGAAGGTAGAGAGGGAGGGGCTCGCGGTCTAGAGTCCAGACTCGCGGTCCGTATCGTCACGTGTCGGCTGCCTAAACAATATACCAGGACCCACAAGGGGTGGTTAATGGAAACCCTTAACCTCTAAGGGGCTATCAATAGAAACCCCTTACGTTGTCCTGGTATAGGCCATGAAACAGGACCAGATTTGTAGTCGGCATGTCTTTCTGTTCTGTACATCGCCTGGCGGCGTTTTGCGAGCGAGGCTTGCTCACTGTGTTCAACTCCACGCATGCTGAATGGCGGTGGCATCGGGTGGCGTGTGTCTTTGAGAACAAGAGCCGTGGCGTTGTGAAAGCAGAGGGGCTTTGTTTTTTTTTGGGGGGCGATTTTGATGTTCCTTGCTGGAACGCTCCAAATTGGAGTCACAAGATTGTTGTGCCGACATGTGACCTGCTTCTTTACAGCCTGTACTTGGATTGTGCAATTCTTGACTTGCGTTCAGTACAGTGAATGGTCGAGTTTGCGACATCCCCAATGGCATGCACGTTGGATTGTGGTTGGGTTCATCCTACACCCGGGAAGATTAACATGGAGCCTGAACATGGAGCTTTGGAAGACTATTTTCCTCTACAGGTTTTCAGGTTCCATGTTAATCTTTCAGGATTCACGCTGATATACGCTGACACCGCTTATGTTGTCAATGGTGCAGACAAACCAGCATTATGGACTGGTCCACTGAATAGCCCAACCCAAACATGGACAATCCTACCTACAACACCTACAGAGACCCTCGACATCCACCCCTGAATGTAGACAAAGCACCCTCCCCAAGGGCCCAGACAATGTTGGGGACCTTCAAACTCATTCCTTTCATTCCATTTCTTCCAATGCATCGGACCTCTACAAAGCCTCCCCATTGCTGATCTGGCCCGTTCGGTGGATTTTTGTGGTGTCCGTCCCCCAAACCGTCGTGCTCCGGCGGGTCCCACGCAGTTCAGGGCTCACCGTGCGGTGAACTGGACGAAGTTCACATACGAGGGCGCGAGGCAATCCTTGGGGCGAACGAGGCCGATGAGTGCTTTCTATTGGGAAGCTCAGATGCACCTCAGGTCGCGGTTCTGCTTCGGTGCTTTTCTTCACGGAAAAAGACAACAACATGTTGGCTCAGAACTTGGCAATGGGGGAAAGAAGCCGCTCATCCGTTGATGTCTAGCTTCATTTGGGATTGAACATCTTGTCTTGCCCAGATGGTTGTCGAACATCCACACCTTCCACTTTCTGAGTCCTTCACCTTCCAAGACCCCTAAAAGGTCCAGAGCCCCTTCTTCTTTCAGGACGGCGTGAGCGGCCCTGCGGGCGGCCCAGAGTGTGCTACGGAGGGGGACAATGCAGAGCAGGCCTATGAGGCCTCGGACGTGGTGATGTTGGTGCGAGACCCCCAGCGGTGCCCCAACAAGCGCCTGGGCGGCCAAACACTGCGAGGGGGGAAGTCGAAGCCATTCGAATGATCTACATCTAGGCACCAGAAAGAATGGCCAATTGTCAATAACTTTGAATCCTTTGGGACTGGAGCAGTTCTGGTCATTCCACTTGTGCTGTGAACGTTCATACACAAAGGTCTCTGCGGGTTCCGAGGCCTACGCTGATTTGCGGGGTCATTCACCATCTTCACTGCTGAATTGGTAATGGCCATCCTGGGAAAACCCACTACTGTAGACTAGCCCTTTTCAAGTTTCTCAGTTGATGCAAATAACATCAAAGATACATAAAGCGTCCGGCCATGCTTGTAGAGACACACACTTAGATGGTTGCTTGCAAGAGCTAGGATCAGTATGAAGTCCCACTTTAGATGCATTAGACCTTGACTGAAAAGGAGTGCAAACAGAAAGGCGATGAGTCAGCAGAGTTGAAGGTGTTGAACACTGTTTTGGAACTGCACGGCAATAAGCAACTAGACCTGATTAAAAATTGACATGGAGCAGGTACACATTCAGGCGTCCCTGAATGCATCCACCAGTCTCCCGTAGCTTCGTTGGGCAACGTAGGAAGACCGGTCGTTGCCCCCCTGGTTGATTTGCGTGGTTGTTTGTTTTAGTTGGGTTTCTAGTAGGAAGGCCAGAAGTTACTAGTAGCAGCCAGCCAAACTAGTGGAATTCACGGCAAACTTACCAGGTACAAACCTTGGAAACAAGTGTTAACACACACACACACACTGTGCCGCAATCGGCGCTCTGTACCCCTGGCGTGAAATGGTTTTTTGGCGCAACAGCTTTGTACACATAGCGCCATTATTGGCGCTGTGGAAAAGTACTAGCCACCTAAAAAGCCTTAGAAAGACAGACAGAGAACAAAACAAAAGCAGACTAAGCGGGCAAGAAAGAAAGATAGGCGTAGTTACGAGGCCCACTAGTTACAATACGTGCAGAAGTTAGCGAGCGGGACTTTGGTCTTATACCGCCCGGGTAGCTAGAGGTAGGACAGGAGAAATAGAAGGGAAGGCACCAACACACAAGTGTGTTGAGTGCGACTTCCTTCTATAACCCTAGATAGCGGGTGGGATAGCAACGGAGGCCTGGGGCAGGGTGCCCAAAGGCTGTCCCCATTGACATTTCAAGCCGATTATGGGGACGGCGGACCCTTTTCTGACAAGCATCTGAAACCTAAAGAAACCTAAAGAAAGGCCTCAAGAAACGAAAAGCAACAGCAAGAGAGAAAGAACCCAAGAACATGACAAGAACATGCACCGGAAAAACTCACAAGTGCCGCCTGTGATTACTTAGACATGTAGACTGCACAAAAGATTACTTAGGAAAGCAAGCTGAAAGGTGCATGCGAAAGTTGCATGCAGTGCCATGTCTGAGTGCTGAGCCCCGCCTGTGACTACTTAGACGTGCAGACTGTACAGGTGAATACTTAGACACATGCTCGCGTGACGATGCAAATCCGGATCAAAGTTTGAGTCTCAGTGAGCCCTGCGGCATAGTATCAGTGGTATCGAGCAATGACAGCAAATCAGAAGGAATCAGACGAAATGCCAAGGTGGAAGCAATCTTCCAGGATCTGGGTCTATGCACATGCGGCGCCCTTCGACGGGGATCACACCACAGCCCTCAGTGGGACTCTGTGGCGATACACACTTAGATGGTTGCTCGCAAGAGCTAGGATCAGTATGAAGTCCCACTTTAGATGCATTAGACCTTGACTGAAAAGGAGTGCAAACAGAAAGGCGATGAGTCAGCAGAGTTGAAGGTGTTTGAACACTGTTTTGGAACTGCCCGGCAATAAGCAACTAGACCTGATTAAAAATTGAGCAGGTACACATTCAGGCGTCCCTGAATGCATCCACCAGTCTTCCGTAGCTTCGTTGGGCAACGTAGGAAGACCGGTCGTTGCCCCCCTGCCTCTTTGTTGATTTGCGTGTTTTTTTGTTTTAGTTGGGTTTCTAGTAGGAAGGCCAGAAGTTACTAGTAGCAGCCAGCCAAACTAGTGGAATTCACGGCAAACTTACCAGGTACAAACCTTGGAAACAGGTGTTAACACTTAGATTGTTGCTCGCAAGAGCTGATGCCAGTATTAAGTTCCCCTTGACTTGAAAAACAGAAAGAACGAAAACTGAAAGGCGGCAGAGTCGATAGACTTGTAGATGTTGAACAAGGTTTCTCGCAGGTCACTAGTCGATTAGTGCAAAACACTGCAGTGGACAGCTTATTCAACGGTTTCAACAAGCTTTGCAGATACGTTCTCAAGGCGTCCTCCAGAATATCCTGACGAATGGCTGGAGCTTCGTTGGATCAGGCCAAGCCAAACGTCCCTGATCCCCCTGCCTCTTTTTTCGCGCTGAGAAACTATATGTTAGTAGCGATACCAGGAGCCCTTAGTAGCAAAACCAGGGGCCCTAGTAGCGTTCTTTGTGACTCAAAAACCTTAGGCACAGGTGTGGACACACACACACACACGCGCGCACACATTTCACATACACCAGTACACACATGTTCCAAGATCTATCATTTGTCTATATAGTTATTTTTAGATCACTATGTGCCCCTTTGCTTGTGGTGTGAACATTGCTGAGGTCCTTCCGGCAGCCGGGAACCATGGCCACCGCGGCCTCCACCGGCGCGCCGGTCTGGTTCACTGAAGCACCGGTCTGGTCCACCGCGGCTGCTGCGAGCGTCGTCGCGGCCGTGGGAATGGCCCTTGTCCTGGTGCAGTCGAGGCGGTGCAATGGAGCACTGCAGCAACAGCCCTTGCTGAGCGGATGACAAAAAGGATGGGGACCCATGAGACACAACTCAACACCATGAGACTCAGGGTGTTGAGCAACCAGTTCTTCAAAGACGTCTCCACAACCAGTTCTTCAAAGACGTCTCCACCGGATGGAACCACTTCCATGTGTCCATGATCATGGCTTGTTTGGGGCTGGCACGTGGCCACCTAAATCAGAGGTTTTTCTGTTGTATGTAGCATTGGACAACCTCTTCAAACAAGGCGCACGACAGATGCCACCAAACTCTGTTTCCATGCTGAACAAAAGATCCATAAGGGAACCGAATCCGTTTGGATGCAAGAGAAACAAGTAGGCGATGAGCGCAGGATGATTCGCTTACGTGCCAAGATCTTTGAGAGGGTGTTCTTTTGGCCTTTTAAGGTTCTGATATTATACAGTAGGCGACCTCGTGTCTCCGGTTTGCTTTGCTTCGCATGGACCCGACCGACCCGCTCGCAGCCCAAGAGTCTCCTACAACACCAGGAGTCACGAGCAGATTCCTCAACCCAGGCGACCCCGAGTCACGAGCAGATCCCTCAACCGAACAAATGGCTTGGTGGGAGGTGTTTGGACCTACAGTCGCCGCCCAGTCGCTGAGGCCTATTGCCATGCGCGGGGCGTGATCCACCGGGACCGGCCGGCCGATTGCCGTGTTCAGTGCGAGTCCGGTCTGCGGGTCTGTGGGTGTTATTCCCATGTGACAACAGGGTCCAACGAACGTCAATGAACGATTTTCAGGGGGAGAGGCGAAGATTCACCAGGGGCATTGCTCTGCTACCTGCTCGGCCGCGCCTGGGCGCTCGCAAAATGGAAGTTTTTTTGGAAGACTAGGACTACAGTGCGGAGATTCCACACCATCCATGCAGAAAACTGCGATGGTTGTTTCTCACCCACAGAGGCATGGAACACATATTTTGTTCCCTAGAAATCCCTAGAACGCGGCGTTTGCAGTCAGGTAGGCAAAGTTTATGTGTCAGTGATCTCAGAGTAACTGAACTGCAGCACTACGGTATAGTTATAGATGGGTTTCCCATTTCGCTCGTTTCCGTCGTCCATTAATTGATGGAAAGAACCCGGTGCCAGGGTGCATCTATACTTTGGTGGCCAGAAAGCGGACATTGTTTTCTTCCTTTCAACAACTAGTTAAGCTTGAGACCTGTCTCATCCTGTTTCAGGTCCAGACCACAGTAACCCAGGAAAAATCACGGTCCCAGTCGAACCGAACATGTTTTTGGTACGATCCACATCGATGAGTTCCTGTAAAGGTCAAACTGCTCTGTAAGCAAATCATTCGACTCACCAATGAAGGATGTCATTCGCTGTTCGATGGCGTTGCCCAATGTCGGTTGCTCGGGCGCCGGTGCCCTTTTCTCCTCCCCGCGTCGCACGCGCCGTTGTTGGCAGGACCTCAAGCCCGACAATGTGCTCTATGCCACTAAGGCTGACTTGGGAGGGCTCCATCAGACCTCAGTGCGACTCCTCGGCGGGTTGGAGGACTGCGGAGGCTTTCACGTTGTTTCCCTGCCAGGGTGGGACCTTCTAGGTGCCACGGAGGCTTTTGGCGCAAGAGGTGAAGAGCACTTGCAAGTTCCCCAGTGTTTTCAACAAACTTTAGTCAACTTTAGTCCTTCCCTCCTGTTCACTGGTGTGACCAGGCGCCAGACAGTGCAGTGAAGGCCTGGAAGTCCGGCTTGCCGCGATTGCGATGGGTAGTATATGGCTGTGAGTCAACACCCGGATGCCAACGGGTTGACCTCTTGTAGGGTCGTCCGTTCTGTTCATTTTCTCTGGTCAACCGTAGCCGGGTGCCATGACCCACACCCATGTAAAGATATGTAAAGATCGTTTCCGGCTGGCTTGACCGATCTCAATCTGTTTGGGCGAACATGGTGAGTCGGCACTGTGGCCATCCTTGGCCGAACCAAGTGCAGACTTGGTTCCGCGAAGCGTTGAATCATCCGCACTGGTGTCTAGCAGAATTTGCAGTTTTTGGGTCCCATCGTGCCAGATTGAGTTGCATCGCAGAAACACAATGATTGCTTAGGTGTTGGACAATGGCTACTTGGAACTTGGAACAGTGGAGTGGAATACTGAAGACTTGCTGTCCGAGGGTTCTACCAAGTTGACAAACGATAAGATGATAAGACCTTTGCCGCAAGACGTGGCGAGAGGGTTCATGAGTGGTGAACTCTGTATATTTTCTGGCCATGATCGAACACAACCGAAGCAAAAGACATGCCTTTTCGGGCCATCTAAGAAAAATGCAACTTTTTTACTTCTTCCAAAGACTCATCAGCAACAGGGCCCTGTGCACCCTTTGATCGGCCCTTTTTCTGTGCGTGGAGGTGATTGACTTTGGGCTTGCAGACTTCCTCCAACGCGTGGAGTCCCGGTGTGGAGTCGATCCGGTGTGGAGTCGATCTGGTGGTTTCAATTCGAATTATATTCCAATGAATTATTGTTTCTAATGGCTTCGTAGCGTCCTAGTATGGCCAGGAGCCCCATTCTAATGGCGTCCTTGTTTGGAATTGAGAACTCTTCCACATCCGGTGAGGGAAATCCCCAACAGCTGCTGCAAGAGATTTTGGTCATTTTTAGTCAATATATGTCAATATCAATATATTGGCTGTGGCGGCTGTGGGTAAAACACCGGGGCACCCTGGGCCAGACCCTGGATCAAATGAACAGATTCCTCTAATTATAAGATATTATAAGGGATATCAACCTTCCATGGTGTGGTGGGTGAGGTTTTGACCCACAGTCTATATACTGTTAGTTTATGTTTTTAATATTTCTATTTGTGTAGCCCCGCTCATCCATATAGCTGCCCTGCTCTTGTGCTGCTTCTAAAGACCTCCTGGGTTTCTTCTTTCCGCTGCTGTGCTCAAAGCCTGTGCTGCTGACTCTGAACCCTGCTCAAAGTGTTTTCTAGATGGTTGAAGGGTCAGCTGCTCAGTGGCATACACAGTTGAATCGAAACGATTCGAACCTGGACACCAGAATCCTTTATATAAACTCTCCAGGGTTTCGTGCCCTTTGACCAAGCGGTGCGCAGCACAACACATTCGGGCATATGTATGTATATGTCGCTTTGAATACAAAAACGCTCTTAGCATTCTTCAGCTTGTATGTTAGCCACACTTTATTTTGCTCTATAAGTCAGCAGCCTCAAAATCCACCCGGTTCAGCATCCTCTCAGCTTGCCGCGCTGCCGGCGCATGCGCTATGCACCAAGGCCTGCGTGCTGTGGCCGGAGGGAAAGCCATGGAGAGAGTTCGGGGTGCCCGGCCGCGGCCGCGGCGGTTTCGGTTTGGGCGCGCCAGGGTCCTGAGGACGACACAATTGGAGCCTGAAAAGCCGAGGTTTGCCTACGAAAAGGGCTCCTTTACAGGTGCCTATAGCCTCAAGAAAGGTTAAAGTCAAAGGGGTGTCCATGAACTACCCCAACCTGATGTCCCTGTAAAGGAGCATCAATCGTTCAGAGCGCCATTTCTGTTTTGCGTCCTGGTGTTCGGCGGTGGTGAGGTCCGGGCTTGTCCGAAGGCCAGGTAAGCAGGTATATATATATAGTTTGTTATTGTGCTGGGTCATGATGGGTATAACTTATTATAACATTTACAATGACATGTTGAGGACAAAGGCTCCGAAGATGAATCAACCACCAGTCTATAAACCACATGATAGTTCTCAACACAGCCTCACCCCTGTCCCAAGGCTGGTGGCCAATACATGTCGAGATGTAGACCTAGCCAGGTCAATTTCACTCCACCCTGGCTGCACCTAAGTCTTCAAAATCTCCATGATCCTCTTCCGGGGTAGTGAGAAATGAGTTTCAACGCCGAAACATATCCAAAACAAAATACTTGCAACTTGCATTTGCTGCTGTAACCAAGATTCTCCTGTAACCAAAGCCGGGGAGTGTGAAGATCTCGGAAGTTGGCTTTCCTTCGGTCCAAGAAGGAGGGGTGGTCTACCCGTTGTGCAGTTCAGTTCAGTCTACAGGTTGCGCCAAGTTTTTTCTCGTAGATCATAAGGTTTCTTCGTTGTTTGTTTGCATCCCCTTTCAAATGCTTCCGAGGCGGGGACATTGGCATTCATGGTGCGAGCCTCAAGCCTACGTAGGCTCACTTCACGGAGATGGATGACAGGACAAGGCCGACCCCACAAATTGGGCTGGAAACATCGTAAGAGCGGTCGGGGAGTGCAAAGCTACACATACCCCTTAATCTACAAAGAAAAGGGGCGCTGACCCCGGGCCGTAAAATTCCTTTTGTGATATGCATAACCGGCATGACCCATAGTAAATTACATTATACTGATGTATACTGTATATATTTTGCATATCCATGTACCAAACCGCTATATAATGAAATGCATATGTGTAATCGCTTGCATTTGCTGCCCACTTCAAACGTAACATGTCCAAAATGCTTCAGAAAGTGCAAATGTGGTATCACCAGTATACACTGTATCTACTTCCCACTGGAAAAAACAACATAACCAAAACAATCAATAATCCAAACAAAAAGACAATCACAAAACCACAAACATACAATATTATGAGACTCTTTGCTGCCACACTCCCCAAGAAACTTTTGGAATATTGATACATATTGTTTCCATTTTTGTTTGATTTTTGGTGTGAGGCTGGGCATGCACAGACCTGCACTCCATGGAGAGCTCTAGCCCAGGTTTGGGATCTGACCTCAAGCCTAAGTCTTGGAAGTGTGCATGTTCCTTTGGAATCCTTTTGGATTCTGGTTGATTCCCCGTTGACAACAATTGAACGCCATTTGATTTCCTGTTAAATTCGTTTTGATTCCGATTTTGACTTCCTATTAATCTCTTAGTGTTTTAGTGACATTCTTTTAGATTCTTTATTACACCTTTTCAAGTTATTGCAACATTGGAAAAAAGGAGAGTTGGAGGTCGGAGACAGCAGTGGCGTCATTTCACACATATAATAAGTTAATAAGCATGGTGGGGACAATTTGACGGACGAACGGGCAGAATATGAACACAAGGAATGAAAAAGCCAGAAAATCCATCGAATGGCTCTCGGCGCATTGCGGGCCAACGGACGCTTTAGCGCCTATGGCCGAGACAAAAAGCTTTAGCGCAAAAATCGACAAAGGGGGGGTAGCCCAGGACACTAGAAATCTTGAACAATATAACCTCCTACATGTCCTCCTACAATAAGGTTCGCCGTTTTGTGCTTTATTAATAACACCTCCTGGATTTATGCTTTTAATATTAGAATTCACTGTTTAAATTCGTAATCATGGCCGTTTATTTTTTACTAAATACATTCCCTTTGATTCCTGTTGATTCACTTGCACATTCCTTCTGATTTCTAATGATTTCCTCTTATAGAAACATCTACGTGTTTCTGTGTGTTGTGGCCTATTGCATACATAAACACACTAAAATACTATGTTTTCGAGCATTTAAGCAAGGCCACTTTCAGAGCCCTACCAACGCCCACTCACCAAATCTATGAAATCATAAGACATTTTACGAAATCTATGGGCGGTGATAACTGGTTGGTTTTGGACTTCTGGGGTACTACCCTGGTCTTGATCACTCTTCATCCACTGAGTCATCTCAGACAACAAACAACTCTTCACTGCTGAGAGCTGCGGAGGGCACTTCGCTCAGGCTCCCGAGATGTTGAGCTCGGATGGCTCGTACGGGGAGAAGGCGGTGGGATAGATCGGGCGACCTCGAAGGGGGCAGACATCGGATGGCTGGTGGGAGAGGCCGCTGCAGCATTTTCAGGGTGTTTCTTCGGGTGTTTTTTCTCAAGATGAAACGCAGCCCTGAAACTGGGGATGTCATATTCTAGTTGATGTTAATGGGTACTGGCAGCACAGGTTTCAGGATGCATTTGTCATGTTGACCCTCGCCAGCATTTGCAGAGCGCGCAGGTGGACGTATGGGCAATTGGTTGCATCTTGTACCTGTTGATCACAGGCCATGCGGGCCTGTTTTTGAGAGCGTCAGAGCATCTGTGTGCATGATTGTGTGCGAAGTGATAAGTGGGGGAGAAGGCGGATTCACGAGCAAGACCTCCTCTCGGACCCCGTGTTTGCCGAGAGAGGACCGTGAGGATTTTAACATCGGGTGCTGAGATTGCTGAAGTTGCTGGGGAGGTTTCCCTATGTTGCTACTCTTATACTGTACTTTGGTTCCTCCAAGCCTGTAGTATTTAGACAGGGCCTCCGGGAAGACACGTCCGTATCGCTAGCCCAACGGATTGGCAGGTGATGAAGAAATGGAAGTGGAGTGAATCCCCGGTGAGTGGAGGAAAGTCCTTCAACAGCCTCTCCACCGGACAAAAGAAACTGTAACTCCCCCCCCGCGGTCATCTTCAACAGTCCCGGGTCATCCCCAACCAGGGGGTTCAGATCCCGCTAGCTCTACAGCCAAGTTCATGACCTGCTACATGTTCACGTCGATCCCATGGCCAGGTCAGCACCCCTTTTGGCCAGGTCGTGGCACAAGCCTGGAGCCTGAGGAGGGAATGTCTGAGTTGTAACATGAGTGGCTGAGGATCAGATGAGTGGGCTGGGCCTTCTTGGGTGGGTTGGAGGATAGGGTGCTTCGTTTCAAAGCACAGGTCACAAGATTTTGGCAATGCGAAGGTCCAGGAAACCTTGATTGTGTGTTGCATTGTGGTTTCTTGAATAATAATCTTGAACATCATCCCTCTGATTGGGCTCCCTTGCGGCATGACTTGATTCCAGGCACGCACACGCAAGCCAACCTTTGGGGCCTCGGTTTGAGCCCCTATGGTTTCTGAAGCCACCAGTGGATTGAGCTCTTTATAGCAGCGACTGGCGACGTGTGCGGCCAAAAGAGATGGGGCTATCAACAAAGACTTCCAAAAAGGCCTTCTGACATCTTCTGTTTCGCGTGCATGCTGATGTGATGGTTTCTGAGAGTGTCCGTGTTTGCAACGCCTTTGATTGGCTCCATTGTCCTTGGGCAAGCACAGGTTTTGTACAAATGACGCGGGATGGAATGATAGGTTCCATGGGTCTTTTGGCATGGGCAGCTTTTTGAGCCAAAAGGTTTAGATGTTTGCTGGAGACCAGTGTTGACATGGACCCCAATGATAGAGCAAGAGAAACATAATTTTCCAATCACAGGGATGAAATTCCAGATTATTCAAGATACCACAATGCAAGATTTCCTGGACCTTCGCATTGCCAAAATCTTGTGACCTGTGCTTTGGAACGAAGCACCCCATCCTCCAACCCACCCAAGAAGGCCCAGCCCACTCATCTGATCTGCAGCCACTCATGTTTTCGCTCATCTCTTCACCCCCAAATCGGACGGCATCTCGTCTCTGCTCACGCGAAGGGGGTCGTGAGGGCCGTGAGGGCCGTGAGGGCCGTCGAACACCCCTCGTTGGCCAGCGGAGTGAACGTGGTGGGAAAGTATTCCAGAGCCATAGGGCCATGGCCAGCTAGCCAGAAGTTCTTGCACTAGTGATTGATGAGTCTCTGATGGTTTTGAACTTCATCTCCCCCACTCGCCATGCTGGATATTTGCTCACTCGCCTCTTTTCCAAGGCGAAAAGCAGTTGATCCAGTCGATCACTAGTGGCCAGGCGGGTTGCACTCAGCACCATGTGATGGGTATCAGCGCGGAAGCGAAGTTAGCTAAATAACTGATGCACCATTCTGCCACACCAGCACTGCAGAGCCTCTCCAAATGGCCTATTAGGCCAGCCTTTTCAGGATGGGCTCTGCCGGATGCTCTGCCGTTCCCAGAGCCCTCCAAATGGTCAGGTCCAACCCCTGAGCCTCCGAGGGCACCCGGCTGCGGTGCAGGTGCCACAGCACCCGAACTTCCGGGCCGCGCCGGCGGCCGCGCAGGACCTCACCGTACAGCTGATGGTTCCTCGGATGTAGTGGATGAGAGTGGATAGACATCGGAACTCGAACGTTGAACTGTTGCTTTGATCAAACCTCTGAACGTGGAGATGGTTTGATGGGGGGTTGGTGCCGTTGATGCATCAACCCAGTGAAGGTATAGCCTATAGTGATGCATGGCAGCTGCGTGGCACGCGCAGCTGCCACGTTCGATGCCGCGTTCCGCCCGCATGCCGCGTTCCGCGGCTCCCAGGCGAAAGACCCCCTTCGGCGTGCGGCTGCACAGGATGCACTGCGTCACCCCTGGCCTGGAGCCTCGATCGATGTGGAGAGCGTGAAGAGCACGAGAGAAATCAAACGATTGAACCCAGAGGATCCCAGAGCACCAATGTCATTCGAGAATGTGCCTCTTTTTGATCACATTGACGCCGAGAAACCATGGCCGTCAATCGTTGGAATTGGAGACACTGTGCTGTTCCAGCCGCCCAGCCGCGGGCTGGTTTCCTCCTGCGAAAGCTGCGGCCGAAAGAGCAGCAGAATCCGACCCAGATGATCAGAAACCGACCCAGATGATTAGAACGCGGCATTAGGTTTGTTGTAAGTTTGTAGATTACTGTAATTATATGTAAGTATATTATATATAGTTATATAGTTATTCGTTAGATTATTACATGTCGATCACATGTCGAGTTACTCAACAAATGTACATGTTGAGAAGCAAACTGGGCTGATTTCTCGACTCAAGGGTTCCAGGGTTCTGGACTACACTGGCAGTGTGCTTCCGGCGACCCAGGCTGCGCGCGGAGTCACCCGGTTCGGCCGCACAGGCAGTGATGCCTGGGTGTCTTGGGAACTTGGGAGTAGATCTCAAGACCATCAAGCATGTTGGAATCACCATTGAGATGAATTTTATGCTTTCATGTGGCTTTTCACCTCAGGACATAGGACATGAGGTGAAGAGACTTTCTTTTTTGACCACATGCATACGTGGAAAACGAAGCTCATCGATCTATCAGAGTTGATCTATCTCAGTGACATCGATCTCCTGTTCGATCCTGTCAGGTGCTGGACAAGTCGGTCTTCGAAGGCCTCTGCAAGTATCAGGCGAGGCTGCCGAGTGTCCGGCGGGCACGAAGGCGGTGTTTGCACTGCAAAAACTCACCCACCTGAGTTAGACCGAAGTGACTTCGCATGCGGGCTGGTGGAATGGTTTGGGTTCTGCGGGCCCATTGCTTTCGACTGTGTCTCGTGACCGGGTTCAAACCGTCGATAAAAGGATGATCACTGCCAACAGAGGTTGAAGAGCCCTATAGACTATTCCATAGGTAATTCAGTGAGGTCCTAGTTCAGGTCACTGGCTACCTCTCTTGGTGCTTTTGAGAAAGGCCATCGGCCATTGCTAAGCCATGTCTAACCATCATCATCCTCATCCCGGTTTCCCGGTTTCCCGGTCCGGAGGTCGGAGGTCGGTTCCGGGATGGACCCGGTGGGAAAGGACCGGGCTCGGAAATGGAACGTTCCCCCCAAAAGACCAAATATATAGATATAATATATATATATAGGATGCAAGAGAATCAGTTTTGGACGAGTCCAGGGTGTTTTGCTTTTAAAGCGATGTGTGTTTTTGGGATTCCTCAAAGGAGTACTGAGTGTATAAAGCCTCAAGCCTCAAGCCAGCCAGCTTCGAGGCTTCGAGCAAGCTGAAGCGGGCCGTGCTGAAGCTCTTAGCCGCTCGCATGGGTCGGGGGATGGGTCGTGACCCAACTGGAGCCCGTGGTCCACCATGTCGTAGCGAACGACCTTCCAGGTAGGTCGTGCCCAAGCTATGCTGGTTTGGTCACAGCCATCTCGCCCGTGGCCAAAAAGACCATCCAGTCCAGTGTATCCCTTGGCTAGGGGGGGGGGAGTCCAGGACACCCAGACAGGATGATCCTAGTAGGATTTGCCAGCATGTGTTTGACAGGATCTCCTAGTATTCAGTGTTGATTGATTTTACATCCCCTAGATGATCCTAGATGTAAACCCATTCTCCTCATATGGTTTAACATCAATCAACAGTCAGCATTACTACAGAACAGGGTCTTGTTCCCACACTTGGTTGTTGCCCAAGGACTGAGTATTGCTCACTAAACCTTCTATTTCAAGCGCCAACCCGAAAGCAACGCCTTTCAGTAGTCTTTTGAATGTTACATCCAGTTGCCTTGAAACTAGTTACTATCTGACCCCTTTTATTTTCATATAAGAAAAAGGCTGTCTAACTTTCTAGATGGCGTTAATATCCTGAATGGGATTCCATGTCGGGTTCCTAGCGGAATCGCGGAAGATCCAACAAAAACCACATCAGACAGTTGACAATTTTTCACGTCCCCCCTCAGCCTTTCTTAGAAACCATGTCTGTGCCGACGTGTCCGGGCCTCGAAGAACGCCGAACGTCTCGTGGGTCGAGACCAAGCACGATGAGGCCAAAGAGGCCGATGAAGAGCGGGCCCGGGCCGCCGAAAGAAGTGGTGGAGAGTGGAGGGGGGCCGTGGGGGTTCGAGTGTGGTGGAGTCAAGGGATTGGAACGAAGAGGAATAAACCGGATGAGCCACAGAGTTTGGATGGGTCCATCCAAGTGCGCAAGACCTCATGGAGCTGGGCGTAAACAAAGGAGTGTCCTGGGTCCTTCAAGAGTCAGAGTTCACTAGGTTTCACTTCGATTTTACAAGTGCGCACAGAGCGCGCCTGGATCATGTTCCCTACCCTCTCTGGGACCTGGGATGTTTTCATGGGATGGGTGTGCCAGCCTCCCAGGTGAAGAAACTTCGAGAACAGTTCCGAACTTTGAATGTGCGTCAGGCTGGGCGGCAGAGGACAACACTTGAAGCGAAAAAGCATCTGTTGATGTTCCACCGAACGGAAACCAGATGGACTCACATCAGTAGGAGAATTTTCGCAAGTGTTTCCTTCTGCACAACATTCTCGCCAATAGTCATGACCAGTCTACTTTTGGTGCCATAGGGTCATAGAGTCCTGGTGTTTCCTGTACGGGTCTTTTTTTTTGGGGTAAAGAGGCCCGAGGTCTCTAACGTTTTGGGGGCGTTTTCGCAGCGGATCTTCCATCCCCCAAAGAAAAGAGGAGTCACTGAAAAAACCTGAAGTGTTGGGCCATGTTTTTCAAGTGTTAGGAGACAAAGAGTCTGAGGAGGTCACTGATCCATCACATGTTTCCTTAGATCAAACATGACATCTTCGGTCCCAGTCACGACAGTTGCCAGAAGCTTTCTTTTCGTGAGGACCTTGGATTACTAAGTCGCCTGGGCGGCTGGGGGGGAACCAGGTGTCTGTTGCGCGGCTGTGAGGCTGCTGTGGTGCAAACATACCAAACATTTGCATGTTCAGATTCAGAAGATCTTCAAAAAGCATTTGTGGATGAATCCCATTCAGGGTGGTCCTTTCCTCTGGTTCAAGACTTTGATCACCCGCGACCAGGATGGCTACATCAGCCGGGAGGAGCTTTTGCAGGGCGGTCCCAGGAGCAGCTCCGTGTGTTGAGAAGAGGACCTCTGAACAGCCTCAGATAGAGAATATGCTTCAATGACATGAGCACCCCACAAATCTCCAGAAAACGACACATCACATCTCTATGCACATATAAGTGCTATATATATAACTTACATAACTAATTATTATACATGATCATACATGCATACACACCTACCATTAATATTTAGGACTCCACCAGCATATTGAGCCATGCCAAATCGTGCCGTGTCTCACCGAGCACCAGCTGAGGCGTGGCTTGCGGCAGTGCCCGGAGTGACTTGGTCGATCTGGGGCAGAGGTGTTTAAAACACATTGGGGAAAGAGGAAGAACATCCCATACATGTTGTTTTGCATTCCAAATGCTTGGCCATATGTTGATTTGCTGCGAGAGAACCTTCCGCCGTTCCGTACGTTCCGTGCTGCGGGCGCTCAGCGCTGACAGCTACTCTACGGCTTTTGGGTCGACTCGGCCCCTTCCAGTCCACCAGTGGATGGAGGTTCGCCTGCGAGGTTCGCCCCTGGCAGGTGAGGTTCGCCAGTGAACCGGTCACAGCGAGGCGAAATGAAGGGGGTGGACCTTCAACAAGCCTTCGATTGAACACAGTGAGAGATCTGTGCGGACGTGATCGCAATCACCGAATACTTAGTCAAGTGCCGTTGGTTGCCGATGGTTGGGCATGGGATGCAATATGGAGTTTCGCTCACAAGATCTCAGGAGATTCATCAACGGTCATGACCCCTCCTATGCGAGGCCCGGACCCCTGCATCGCAGCATCCCAAGACCCTTCAACTTCCTGAAAACTGCAGGAATTCACAAGTTCGCCTATACAGGACACCCTCATCGGAAGACCCTTCAACACCCATATTCGTTGCAAACCTCTGGCACCGTGCACGGCTCATCCATCATGGGTTGATCACCTGCCCTCGATCTCCGTCCCCGCCCGCTCTTTTGGCAGCCTCGACGCTTTCCGGGTTGCGGAGCGCCTCAACGGGGTCCAGCCTACAGCGACTAGCTGTTGCCATGGCTGCGGCCTTCGGAGAACATGGCGTGATCGACTGGGCCACTTGGTTTGGGCAGTAATGTTCAACAGGATGGATGGTTCCGTCGGGACAGTGTGGAGCTGAATCTAAACAGGATGGAAGTCTGGAGCTCAAAAATATTGCAAGAGACGTCAGTTGATTGGCAGGAAGCGTTTGGGATCCAGAGTTCAACAGACTTAACTCTGGAGTTAATTCCTCTCATTTCCTCTCCAAACATGCGCGCAGCCCAGGTCAGAACTCTAGAGGAATCCCTGAGTTTTGCACTGCCATATGCAACCGAGACTAGACTGACCAAACTTTCTAGATCAGTCTTTAACCCTTTCAAGAGACTGAACTCCGGAGTTTTTCCTCGAGTGGGTTTAATTACATAAGAAATTCAAGGCCCGGGTTTAACTAAGAAATGAATTGACAGACTCGGGTTTAAGTAAGAACTGACATGAGCGACCCGGTTTTAACTAAGAAATGAACTGACAGACTCGGGTTTAAGTAAGAAAAGACATGACAGGCCGGGTTTAACTAAGAGATGATATGACAGGCTTGGTATGGCTTGGTCCACTACATGCATCCTCATTTCAACACAGCGGTCTTGTAGGATTTCAGTGTCATCTCCCAGGGATCGAACGACACTCGTTTCATGATTTCGACTTGAACCATGCCGTAAACCCTTTGTTTACATGTTGCTTAAGAGCTTGGGTCATATTTTGCCAGGGTTCCTTCCTGCACAGCTCACTTGGACTTTCTGCTCATGTTGGAGTTACAGAAACATACAGACACTCTGAAAAGCTTCTTTATGAGATGAATTGATGGACTTGGGTGAGCCCTGGACTTGAGTGTTCTACTTCACATGGCAGTGGCAAACGGTCTCCGGAATTCTCTGACATTTAAAAGGTCCCTCAGCGCCATGAACAGTTTGAGCTCCTTGGATGTCAAGCCTTTTCTGGGTTGGTGGGCTCCAAAAGCAAAGGCAGGGGTCAAATGAACTTTTTTCGACACTTGCGGTGGCCTGGAACCCCAAAAGAATCCAACAGATGTGAAAAGGCTTAAGTTCCAAGCGGGTCGACTCTCCCTCGCATGGTTTGTGAGTCCCAAGGACAAGTACAAAGAGCTCGTGAAAGGCGCCAACCGGTGGGAAGGACTCCTGGTGGGTTCCTTTTGGGGGGCTACAGAAAACCTCTTGCACGGGATGGGAAGGTCAAGAATAGATACGACCGGATCTGCGAAGCTGTGCTGCGAAGCTGCGACGGAGCGGCGAAGCTGCGAGAAGCTGCGAGTCCCCGCGACCGTCAGCGCCGGGACTGCAGAACAGCTTTTTTTGAGAGGCCAAACATGCCCCAGGGGAGCAGTGTGAGGGGTTCTTATGGTATAGGTGTGAAGGCCGTTTGGTCGGAGGCTCTCGCATCCGCCAGCGGCTAACTCGCTGCTATTTACAGTGCATTCATTAACCTCAAGATCTTCGAAGTGGTGCTGTGCGCATTTTCGGATGTCCAACGTCGAGTTTTCGTGGCAGGTGCAGTGCAGGGGATCGGAATATGGTTTTTGATTTGATGTGCAGATTTCGCGGCAGGCGCAGTGCTTTGGACATGGCGGTGGTCTTTGGCACGCTCTGATTTTGTGGCGGGTGGGGTGAATCGTCACTTTTGAACACGTGGCTCGTTTTCAGAAATCGGAAGGAAGATGGGGGCGGTCTCGATCGAAAGCTGCATTTTAGCATCTTGGTTGTCTTTGGACATGCTCTTGCTACGAAGCGCCTTGGCAGGGCTGCGCGATGTGAAACTTGATGTGCAGATTTTGTGGCATGCGCAGCACTTTGCGGAGCTTGAAGTGTAGAAATTGTGGCAGGGGCAGCGCACAATTTGTGGACCTTGAAGTTGGGTGTAACGGGACGGAAAAGATGATGCAGGAAGAAGGAATCCTGAAGCTGCCGTAATATGGTACATACATAGCATGCATGAAGTCAACCCCAGCTCAAGCCAAAAGACTTGATTTCTTGCCAACCCCTTGTTGGCATGACCGGCCGTGACAGGCTGTGCCGGTGGGGGTTCAGGCTCCTAGTAGATGCTAGTAGGCTCAGTCAGTTGACAAGATCCTGCAAAGAAAACCAGATATGACATAACATCATGTTTCATGACGTAGCAAAATATAATAAGATCAACTAGATGTAGTACTTTGATGTACTTTGTAGTTAGAAACATCTAGTCCAGTACAACTTTTGAATGTTTTCAAAAAAATATTGCCAAATAGTAATTAACATTTTTACTTTGAATATCAAAGCAACCAAGATCAACAAATTAGACCAACCATGATTTAAGACAACAATTAACCCAACTGACAACCCCCAATAGCAAAGCGCCCGCCAAGATCTAGCACATGTTTTGGGTGTGCGTTGTTCGATGATGCATCGGTTTATTACATCTGGAATGCCGAACACAACTTTCCAAAAAAGAATGTTGAAATGCAATCACATAGTTCACACACACAGACTTGCAAAAGACGATGCCCAACCAAAATAGATGTACCGAGACACCACCAATGACCGAGACACCGCGAACCATGACCGAGACACCCGCGGAACATGACCACAAGACTGCGCAAACATGAGCGAGACAGCGCCCGCGCATGAGCGAAACACCGCGAAACACCGCCTAAACCTATGACTGAAACACCAGGGAAACATGACTGGGACACCACCCAAACATGACCGACACACCACCAATAGATAAAGCAAGACACCACCTCAACATGACTTTTCAAAGCACCAGTGAAACATGACCGAGACACCGGGACACCCACAGGCCGGGGGCCGTGGTTTTTGGCGGCGCCCGGCCGCCTAAAGAATGTAACAAACCCAAGTTTTCGCTATTGAGGAATCAAAGAAGAATAGGATACTATATAGTATAAGATTCACTTATTACAAAGTGGTAGGGTTTGGGATTTCGGCCCACGTTTCAGACATGGTTCTGACCCTTGTTATCCCATACTATATCAATTTTTCCATACACAGTATTAGCTGTTCTTGTTTGCGGGTGTTTACAGGTTGCGTTCCCATTGCACTTTCAAGGGACTTAGACCTTCAGCACCCGGGTGCGAGGTCTACCCAGGCACGAGGTCGGTTTCTGCGGTGCGTTCGCTCGCAGGTATCGACATTCTCACCTATGACCCTCCACAGAAGAAGCCACAGTTCGCTGCAGCATGCAGGAACATCAACTGCTTCACGCCGAGGCAGAGGAAAGGATCTCCAATAGCACAGGAGTTGTTTTGGACATTGGCAGGTGTTGGCGGATGCTGACAGACATATGAAAACAAAATAAACACAATCATCTAAAATCATATAACTATATACATTGCAGAATTGGGCGTGCGTATCAAGAATACCACAAAAACATTCAACGAATTATTCTATTCATTCTAAACTCACGGGAAAAGGAAAGAACATGCATGAAGACTAGTTAATTTTGTTGAGGAAAACTGGTCATGTTTCAGGAACACAACGGCTAATGGTGAATGGCACTTGAGCTTGGTCCACAGTTTATCTACTTGAAGGACACCCTCTTTCTTCCAAAACAATCATCCCAACACTTCTTTTAACACCCAGAAGGTTGGAAATGAACATGCGTTCTCTTGATTGGGACACCATATTATTTGGGCGAGCTTTCACTGTGAACTTTGACCAATATCAGTTGTTCTTTTCGGGGAACCCAGGTTTGAGGGTGGCGGGCGGTTGTTTGTTTTCAAATGAGACGGGCCTCGCAATACGTGAAGGAGTGCTCACCAAAGACCCAATGTCCAAACCCCTTGATGGACCAAAGACACCTGCTTCACCTTGGAACCAAAAACACATTTTCCATAGTTAGTATCTACAGCTCACAGTGGACCCACAAGAGACCGATCAAGGATGATAAAGGATGGTCTTCATCCAAAGGGCATTGTTTTCATTGCGTCGCCAGCGATCAG